TTAAAACATTAAAGAGTGAAACGAATAGGTTTTGTGAATAGTGGAGCGAAATTCAGCAGAACACGATAGTTGGCTCAATGTAGGTAGTATGAACTGAAGGTAAGGTCGGTTGGCGGGAGTTATTGTACTAAATTATCATGACAGTCTTATATATAGGATTGTAATCGCGAGCATTGCATTCACTAAGTAGGGAATGTTATTACAAGCAAACTTCACAGCAACATGTCATTGCACCAGTAGCATAAGCGCATTAATTGTAATACACCTAAATGTGAATAATCTCAAGACTTTTCAACAACAGCTTTGTGGGAAGTATATGTATCGAAAGATTGCTTGTGGACACTATGAATGACGAAATTTAGTGGAACATATACTAAGACTGATAACCTGCAATAAGGAAAACAAAAATGAAACAATTAGGGGATGCATAATATATAAGATAAGTATTTTAGTTAGGAATACTACAATGATAAAAAATCACTCATTTCATCCACTTCTATTCGCATTATTTCTGACGTCCATTTTACTCACTTTGATCCATGGCATCTTCGATGCAATTTATTCGGAAAATTTAAGGAATTGGGAAGTTGCATACAACACTCAGGAAACATTAATAATTGTTTAAGCCAATTAAAACTAGGGTGAGTTTTGACACTAGGCAGCTGCAGCGACAGATGCTGACAACCTGAGTTTTGACATGGAACCTAACACATAAGTGCGGCAGTTTGGAGAGCCAGAGTGTGAAACTTATCTGGAATACAAGGAGAATTTATTGTAAGACAACTCTTTTATTCAGTTAAACAGGAACCAGATGAAAAGTACCATTATCTGTTTTTGACATTTCAGTAACTGTTATCCACTTTTTAAGATTTCCTTATGCCTAAGCTACTCGTCATTCTGGCCGACATTCAAGCTTTGATTCAAAACATGTCTGACATCAGTGCTAAAGTATCGAGGGACACTGAAACACACAGAGATGCGTGCATATATTAGGTGAACATATCACTTATAAAAGTTGAACTTAAACGGAGCAGTGACACCAGGGGGAATCTTCAAGTCTATGAGAGCGCCCCTAGGAAATCTGCGGATGTTAAGTATTAACTACTCATGGGTGCTCCTACCATGGATAACCAGCAACTACGGACCACAACTCACCCAGAGCCAAGTCAGACAAAAAAAGACTTACAAGCCTAGAGTCTCCCCACGGCCGTCCAAATACCTCCCTAGAGATAAGTACAACAGACGGCATTTCAGCCCAGAAAATAAAGATGCACGCATAACTCAAGGTTGCGAAAGGAGTTGGAGAACGCGAACGAAACTTCTGTTCTTCGGACTAAAAGCAACATCCAAAGTGTGGACGGTCGATTATATGAGGCGAGAGCTAATTATAGAAATAACCTCATCCCCACGAAACCACGATTTAGGAGACATTCAAGGGACACTAATTTGAATAAACGGCATAGTGAGACCCACAACTTCCATAATAACTGGGACCGTAAAATGCAAACAGCACCCATGAAGTAGGAACAGAGCCTAAAACCAATTATAAAATCGTACGGGAGATTAAACGGGACATCTGTAGGTACCTTGTGGGTGTAAAGTAATATCCAGTCTCACGCACTTGTTGTGTAAACCATTATCAACATAACGGATATACACTGGATAGCAACCCCTCTCCGTGCAAGCGAGATGTGGGTCAACGTAAATGCAACCGCGTAAGACCTAGGAGGTTTCATTCACAAGACAATCTGGCTACGGGGTACTCAGGCCTTGTCAGTTTCAGAGTGGGCAGTGAAACAAACTGTATAATACCAGGAAATGGTCTCATCTACCTATCTACTGATGCGTAAATTCTGTATATGCATGGGAACTATTTCTGTTTCCAGTAAACAGTATTCCATCTTGCAGCGCACTTTGTTCAAGAAAGAGTACGCACTCTGACTCTTACTCATCTTATAATCTCTCCGAACATAACATAGGCAACCAGGAGTTCGGGGTTGTAACGTCAAATCTTATTAACTATCTATCAGACAACTCATGTTCTTTAACTGTTATGCTCCTGATTGTTCTATCATTCCTTAACAAAAGAATGTCCCTACCCAGCCTGGTCAACAATAATCGTTGTCAATGTAGTTGAAGATTGAATGATCAATTCATGGTTGTTTGCTCAAACCCAACTCCTCCATATTTTTCGCGGGTGATCAATCCGGCAGTCATTGTCACATTGTTCGCTGTTCAGAAGAAAATTAAAGACTATCAGAAGTATAGTCGTGATTTATTGTTATAACATTTATTCTTAGACCCTCTAGAATAACCTTATTGTTGGATACATGTTGGCGTAAGAATAAAGGATTCTCGAGGTCTAGAATTCAAGATGAACTTCCAGAAGTTATATACGCTTGACGTAGGCGTTCGACTTCCAGTACTAAATAACCATATCCTTGACTTAATCCCCTGTCACAAATTAAAGCCACTCAGTTAGGAGTAGGGAATAGATGCGGCAGTAGTGATCCTGACATGCCGTACTGCACAAAATCTCTTTGATTAACAACTAAATGTACGTTTAAAAATTCTCCCTTGTGCTATCAGTATAGGGACTATAATAATGTCAATATGGAGCCCCTACCAGTGCCTTTTAAAAGTTCGCAATGGAAACAATACTTTGGCAATTATAACTGAAGAGTAACAGTTAATATATTCTACAAGTCTACAAGTTCGGTAAGAGAGGGTGGCGGTAAGGAGGGAGGGTGGCGCTAGCTGATCAGTAGATATGGTGGCGGTCACTAAGGTGAATCGCCCCATTCTGCAGGAACAGCAATATACAAATTAAAGGCTCGAGATATTTCTGATTTTTATGAGGGCTTAGATCTTTATCTTGAAAAAGATAATAGTGAACGCCTTGACAGATAATGCTTCTACCTTTAAATATATACCATTCGCTCAGCCTATTGTTGAGATGCGGCCACGTGGGATCTGCACAGATTTATGGGGCATCTTATAAATTAACTTGCTATCCATTGTCAGATCTTTAAATACCACTTCACAATATCTTGTCTCACTTATTTTCTAATAACGTCTTTACTTGATTCTCATTATATTCAGTTAAACCTAACATTTTATAGCTCTTTATGAATTTGATTCGACTTATTCTATTCCTATTCTCTGGAGGGTACGGTTGTGCACCAAATAGAGAAAAAGACATGAAATAAAAACAACTGGCTTGAAAATAATTGTATTAAAGCCAAAAGTGGACATCATGATAGTATAAAATATATTGGTTTTATTATACATTGCAAATGAACGTTGTCGGCCTAAGGATTAATTACTTCCCCATTCTGTTTTCTATATAAATGTGTTTATTAATGATATATTTCACTCACTTAATCTATTACACTTTAATGTTTCACCTTAGCACTTTAATTTTTCTAAAACAGCTTTCAATCCCTTGTAAACGTTGCACTTACCTCAATATTGGTTGGTTATCGGATGCCGACAACCATGGGATGAAAACGAAACGAAGTCGATTTTCCCGCTCAACCTGGAGGACAACTGTACAATTCAATAACTATACAGCCTAGTTTAGACAATGTGTATTTATATATATATCAAATATTTAACTGTTGAAACATTATTAACTTGTAGACAATTTAAGATTTGACATTATAACATACTTGATCGTGCCTGTAAAAATGGCATGCATTTTCATGTAAATTTGTGTTTATATGAAAATAAATTATTATTATTATTATTACTCGACTGCCACCTTAAAATCTTCTCTAAAGGCACTAAATTTATTTATAGACCACAAAACACCATTGGAACTAGGGAAATTAAAAAGGAAGCTCCATGTTTTTGAAGAATTGCAGATGACACATGAAACCTTCAGACGTCTTGAGGGGAAACAAAATGATGGCGATATTTGAGGAAAATAAAGACCTTTAAGGCCTCTACAAGACTCAGGAACTGTGCATGATTTTGCAAATATATCCGAAAACAGCGGAAACCACAATGTAAGCTACTTGAATCCTCAGATTATAGGTGAACTCCTTAGTAAATGGTGTCCAAATGCACCGAAACGCACGCATTCCCAATTCCCAGAATGACCTACTAAAATAATTACAGGTTATGTGACATCAACTTTGATATGCGAAATATTGCCATACATTCATCAGACTCTAACCATTACTAGACTTGAGAGGGAAATATTCAAATGACCTATCATTTCCAGAGCATGCCCTCAAACAAGTGTCGAAATCACGTAGTCCTATTGTTTTCTACTCGGGAACTTCTGCAGAATTGAATCCAGAATTATTCCATACTAGGTTTGTGTGCGACCACTCATTGATTACTACCCACTAAAGCAAGCAAGTCCGGCTAAATATATATATATATATATGAACATGGGGCTGTTTAGTACAATTTCGAATTATGTTTATGTAATGTATGTATACAGTGCCTATGAAATTTTAAAGCACATCCAGACTACTGTCCGTAGACTTCAACTGAATTATATAGTCTTACTGCTTGTATCTACATGATCTTGCCCATAAACTGACGTTCCTCAAGTAAGGTACTGCTAGAATGGACATTGCTATAAGCTGTGTTCTCACAAAAGAGAGGGACAACCACTTGCAACCAGTGGTCGATGGATAAGTTGGCTAAACCAGTTCCGGTATTCACCTGAAATTTTCAGTGAGTCTTAACTGAATAACGGTCTCTTAAGTCGGGGATATAGTACTCACTTCTGTCTACACTGCTACAAACTGGCACAGGTGTCAGGAGGATGCAATTTCCTTCTAGTTTATGCTCTTGTAAACGATGCATTCCTAACAGGTGAAAATCGGACAACCTAATTTAATATATCGATGAATAAGTTGTTCCCACTGTGTTATTGCCAAAGTAATTGAATAGAAATTTTACGTTCCAAAAGTCAGAGGTGAATTTGCCGTTTTAATCAACAGAAATTGAAGCAATTTATGCACGTGAATTTGCAAAGAGCGTACAAAATAACATGTGCGTTACACTCCGGCCAATATTTTGGCGGGCTGTTCATGTGTCCGGGTGCGTAGGGAGAGTGAAGAGAGTCCAAACTGCTAGAAGGTTTTGCTTTGCCATATATCTCCACCGTTTTCTGTAATAATATTAAATGAGTTTCAGAAAACGACTTTCCATACTCGATTATATTTTTTGTTGACTGTAATCCATTTAGGTAAAATTAATGTGAGAAATGTGTGTTAATCTGATCATTTAAGCGGAACGTTCACCAGTAGTTAAGTTAGGGAAACTTGCAGTCTAAGGTAGACAGCTTGCAGTAAGGCGTCAAGTGCTTTTTGTTGCTTGGTTCGTACTCCCAGAAACTGTCATATGAGTCGATTTTAAAGAAGGATTACTTTTTTTAAACCACTAATCGTGCGTTTGAGTGTTCTGGATGGAACCACTGTACATTAATATGACAGAGTTCTGAAGCTCTCCAGGTTTATTCTGACTGTATTATCCGAACTGTCGTTTAGCAGAAGTTAAATGGTTTTCCGTCTTGATATTTAGCACTGGGAAGCAACCGTTATGCAGTCCATGATTTGTCACTCGTCGTTCCTATCAGTTGTGGTCTTATGAGGCATTTTGTTGATGAGGTTTGGTGATATTTGGATATATCTGATGACAGGGAGATTACCTATTCTTTCATTTTTGATTTATCGCATAGGGTATGAATCTGTTAAATCTCTCTATAAATCGGAAGAGACCGTTCATACACTTGCTTCCCATGCATTAATTACTCCTAAGTTCTATTTTTGGTTCTTTTCTTTTTTATTTCGGGTCCCCAGTGGAATATAATGTTCCCTTTGTTGTATTTTGTAGCTGACTCCATGATTTCCATGTCACCGTCAGACACCGTACTTATCGTTTCCCATTCGTTTTCCACATGGGCGCCTAGCTCGTGATATCACTCAGTCATTTCCTCAGCGTATATCTGGTGCATATGGATTTCTGTCTACATATTTGTTGGGCAAGTAGGCTATTGGCCGGCTTGCCGGCAGCCATAGTTCCTTGCACCAGTCAATGAAATCCACAACAGTTGGTCTAAGCCACGTAGGAAGGTGTCGACTTCCAGGCTGGGGTCCTCGGGACGGTAAAAATCTATGGTTGGAAACAATTGGTGACATGGCTCGAAATCGTTCTCAGTGGCTAACGCAGATGGATCCACTCCTTGTGACTTATGATCTCCAATGAAACTGTTTTGTTCTTCGTTATTACTCCTTTGTCTCACCCCTCTGCTCACTGTTTCTATTATGCTTTTCTTGTACTTTCTTCTCTTGCTTCGCGTGCTACACATAGTGTGGCGACTTGAACTTCCGCACATTTGTGTAAAGTTCTATGTCGAAAACAGACAGACAGACAGACAGATAGTTCCTTGCTGTTTATCTTTGTCAGTCGGTTATCTGGTCTTCAGTTCACTTATTTTATCATTCACTTTTTTCCATTGACCGCATATATGATACCATCTTGTGTTAAGTCGCATACATGGATATTTATAGCTGAGTCAGTATTATGATCATGGTAGTTATTTGTATAAGTGCGTTATCTCTGAATTTGTTTTAAAATATGAATGATGACTTGATCGCTGTGTTAGTTGCAGGAAAAAGTCATTGAAATTGATTGTTGAAAACTAATCCACATAATGCTTGCATTGAAAATGTGGAAAATTTAGTTTACTCTTATTCTCATTACTTCCCATTTCTCGAATAACATTTATAGGCGAAAATTTAAACAAATCATAGATATTGTTAAGATGGCTCACTGCTTGATACATGGAAAATCTTTTCTGGGTAACAAGGTTCTATGTTATTGACTTTGTAATGTTGTCTCATATTTTTAAAGCATGTTTTTGGGGCTTTATAATCTCCTTGGTTTACTTACATATTGTCTCATCCTATGAATGTCATCTGAGAATGAATTGTTTTTGTACCTAACGTTCTAGTGAAATCTGCCAACATGTGTGGTAGTAGTAGTGCTGCAGTAATGCAGACTAACTGAACAACTGTGTGTCAGCGTAGGACTTTGTGCAGAATTGTTGCCAAACCCCATGTAGCACACAAAGGTAGAGAAAGGAAAGTCATTGTTTCTTAGCACCCCAAGGTTCCCGGCCGGAAAGTTTACAACTCCCTACGTGGTTAGACAGAACCAACTGTCAGAGGCTTCATGGATTGATCCCAAGTTTTGATTTGACTACCCCTGAGTCTTATCCAACCTAACCCTATGTCGGATAACTCCAAGGACGTTGGTTTTGCATGCGCAGCATGCATCAAAGCTATCTTATCCGGTGTGTCATCACAACCGCACATATGACTTTCTTACTTTACCTAAGATTCTACTCCTAATCTCAATATTGCTTACCACATTGTACCACAACACGAGAAAAATATATGGTTTATCTTTTCTCTTCCTAATCTAAAGCCTGTCTGGTTTCCGCGGGTTTGTTTCTCCCGAGCACAACTTAGTCTAGGAGTCATTATTGAACCTCGAACTTTAGATACAACAATACAGATCATTAGACGAAAGTGATAATTATTCAAGAGTATGGTTTATATGACAATCTGCATTATTCCTGATGGATTGGTTACTCAGTAAGTGTCGACACAAATACCAATGGCTCTTTTGCTATTTGCCGGCTTGCTTTTTCTCTTATGCATACAAGATATCCAGGTATGGGTACTAAGCAGCAGATTGATCTGCTCTACTTCATGACTATAAGATAAGCTACAGAAAGTGGAAGACGTAAAGAGTGGAGATTTTTGATCATACACTTCTTTGTTTATTTAAGACACATGGTAGATAATTTTCAGATTATAATTAGTGTTAGTTAAGAAGGGCAGGTCAATTTATGAGTTTGTACATCTTCATTGATTAAGGTGTTTAAAACGTGTGACGCTTATACCAAGCCACTGTCTTCGATAAATAATATTAACTGATGGATAGTGACTAGCACTGGGATCCAGGATGCGCATTTGTCCTGCGCATTTGGACTCCTCATCTGGATGTACCTGCATTTCCCAGTGCTGATGTTCCCACCGAGGCTTGAACCCAGTGCCCGTGTTTTCAAACGCCAAAGCGTTTTCCACTATATCACTGACTTAGGATTGGGTTAAAAAATAATAATTAAGGGAAGTGAGACTAAAGGTTTAGTAGTAATATATTCTTCAGGCTAACTTAACGAACTGTAATCACTATAATTTGTATCTGAATATCTGATTTTCAGCTGGTGGTTAGCTGTTTCAAACCTTAATGGACCTACCGTCTGCGATTGTTTATGAAGTACCATGTAGAATGTTTACGCATACCAAACTACCACTTTCCTCGGTTGGTAACGTTGACTGAAGTACGATGAGTTAGGAAAAGATTTAGGAGTGGTGAGGCGGAAACATGATATCGGTCCAGGAAGTCATTACCTAACTGGAGTTTTTGGGGTGTTAAGCCTCAGACTTGTTGCAAAGACTCAAAGTAATTCTCAGTGGCACATACCCTATTTATCTTTAAAGTTCTGCGGATTCTCATCATTCCCAACTGTTCTTCTGTCTTATACAACTGCCGCCATTGTTGTTTGGCTACGTATTGAAGATGAAAGTCACTAGAGAATTAGTGAATCTTGATCATTTACCATTCAGCCACTGGGACCCGATTCAATGGCTCATGAATTCTAACTTCTACCCATTCGTGATTTAGCGTGACCGCAACCATTGTCGTTGGTGGGGCATCCATCCACACATGTGACATCTAATTGGACCTCACTGGTCACGACTTCTCACTAGAACTCAGGAAACTCCAACCTGTAGCAAGTCACTAGCGAGCATCAGATTAATTTTCTATAGATTGGTTTGTAAGGGTTTGTTATGTTTTTACGAGTTGATCACAGATTGATATCAGTTAGAGAATCATTGAAAACCAAGGAGTGCTGGACAGCCGCTCTTTCATTCTAATTTGGGAATCATCGGCAGTACGCACCCACTGGGATTCATGAGCCATTGAATCGGGTCCCAATGGCTGGATGGTATACGAGCTTGCCTTGTAACCGGAAGGTCCTGGGTTCGAATCCCAGTGTGTACGTACTACCGATGATTCCCAAATTAGGATGAAACAGCAGCTGTCCAGTGGTTCTCTAACTGATATCAATCCGTGATCAACTCGTAAAAAACAACAAACCCTTACAAACCAAACTATAGAGAATCTTGATCAGTCAGTCTGTTTGTCAAGTTACCGTAAAATCTGCAACACATTCATATATACTCGTTTGTTTGTTCCTTTTCAGTTGAGAGAGTGAATTTTATGTATTTTATAGTGCTATGATGTTGGACAACTAGAGTTGATGTGTTATTATGTGAAGTTTGTATTGTCACCTCACGGCAATAGTTCAGTAATGATATAGTTTATCTTAAGTGCATCAGTGTTTCAATAGTACAGTGCTGGCCACTCACTCACTCACTCACTCACTCACTCACTCAAATAGCCCGGGTTCAATTCTTGGCCGACACACCATAATCTCACCTAGTTTCCTGTCTGGGAGTAAGTTTGGGAAGAAAGGGAGATCGGGTTTGAGGTTAGCAACTCCACCTCGTAGAAATAATACCATCACTTCTAAAATTTCAAAGCTTAGAAGCTGTATGTTCGAGTTGGAACGCAATTAAATGGAGAAATCTTAACCTCTTTGTTAGGAGACATAGTCTAACAGTTTTCGCAATTATTTCTTTTTATTATCTCTGTGTACACCGCATACCTATCTAATAAATTTTTTGTATTGTTTATTTTAGGTTTGACTTCTATACGATATTCTTTATTTCAAAAACATGGATCTGATAGAAAAGAACCTGGAGGTGAAGTTGTCTTGGGAAATTCTTGAGACTTTAATGTCACGTCAGTATGCCCATGTGAATTATTTATTCATGGATAATACGGAATCGATGAAATGGAACAATGATTTTAGAAATACTGGGATGGTACCTATGTGTTTCACCAAAAGTAAGTGATTATTGCATAAAAGCAGTGTTGTGCGTCGGTGGCACAGTGGTTAGGACTCTCGCCGACCATGCACATAGTCCGGGGTTCAAGCCCACGCCGATGCACACCTAATATCTGTGATTGGCCTGCGAAATTTGGGCTACCGATATCCGTGCTGAAAATTCCATACTTGTACCAAAAATACTGTGTGGAATCAACCTGTCATCAGAAATAAAATAAAAATAAATGAGTTCATAGCTGCACGGAGCCACAGTTTTAGACTATCTTTATGATGATTATTTGGAGTCAGTTGGTATCTGTTACGTGATTCGTCCGTGATAGTTAGTGTAAATGAAACATTGGCTGGTTATAATAATATGGGCAACAAGTGATGCACGGCACTAAAAATAACAAAATAATGTAAGGACAGAGTGACCGGAAGATAAGATCTAGAGAGCAAGTAAGCATTATTAGTCAACATCATTCAAAGGATGGTTCATTAAGTCATTTTACTTTAAGAAAGGTAAGAAATCGTGACAAGTTCGGCATTGATTTTGATTCTTAGCCATATATGATTACAAAACACGTAGATCAGCGAAGAGTCTCTTTTCGGCGAATTCATTTTCTTAGCTGTACAATCGCAAATATATATGCATTGTTTTGTATGTATGTGTACATTAAGTTTTTCCAACAAAGTTACAATTGGTTAAGGTTACTTTTAACTAAACAAGTGGAGGATGGTAATACAGGTCAAGAAAATTAAGTGCTAATGAAACTAGGGTAGTAAAAAAAATGATGAGTTGTCACAAACAGTTGTAATAATAATAGTGAGTTTTACTCAGGATGCACATAGAAACAAAGTAGATAATGCGAAACTATGTAAGAGATCTAAGTGGATACAAGAATTATAATTGCTTAAGGTTATTTTAACTAAACGGGTAAAGGTTGGTAATATAAGTCAAGACCATTAAGTGCTAGGGTAGTAACAAAGGTGATGAGTTGTCACAAACAGTTGTTAAAAGAAGTTATGCAATAATAATATGAATAGTTTGGTGAGTGAGTTTTACTCAGGATGCACATAGAAACAAAGTAGATAATACGAAACTATGTAAGAGATTTAAGTGAATACAAGAATTATAAGCAATTAAGGAACAGGCGAAGAAACAAAATTAAGTCATCAAAATAAAATAAAAGCTCAAAACAAATCAAAACATTGTTACCATGAGAGTAGAAGTGGTTGAGTAATCTTCTTTTGTATGCACAGCTCCGGTTTTTCCATGTGAATGGCCAGAGCTTCAGCGATGCAAAGGAGACGAAACCGTATTGCCTTTGATATGTTATTCTTGACTCTGTAGATTACTTTGAAGGAGGCGTTCGTTGAAATGCAATGATCAGTGTTGACCAGGTGTTCAATTATCGCACTCCTTATTGCACCAGTATTGCCTTTTCGCAACCATGCTGGATAATGTTCTTGAATTCTCTTGGACAGGATGCGCGTCGAACGACCGATGTACCTGGCTCCACAGCAGCAGGTGAACTGGTATATGCACATAGAAGTGGCCAGAACACCTGGTCAACACTGATCATTGCATTTCAACGAACGCCTCCTTCAAAGTAATCTACAGAGTCAAGAATAACATATCAAAGGCAATACGGTTTCGTCTCCTTTGCATCGCTGAAGCTCTGGCCATTCACATGGAAAAACCGGAGCTGTGCATACAAAAGAAGATTACTCAACCACTTCTACTCTCATGGTAACAATGTTTTGATTTGTTTTGAGCTTTTATTTTATTTTGATGACTTAATTTTGTTTCTTCGCCTGTTCCTTAATTGCTTATAATTCTTGTATTCACTTAAATCTCTTACATAGTTTCGTATTATCTACTTTGTTTCTATGTGCATCCTGAGTAAAACTCACTCACCAAACTATTCATATTATTATTGCATAACTTCTTTTAACAACTGTTTGTGACAACTCATCACCTTTGTTACTACCCTAGCACTTAATGGTCTTGACTTATATTACCAACCTTTACCCGTTTAGTTAAAATAACCTTAAGCAATTATAATTCTTGTATCCACTTAGATCTCTTACATAGTTTCGCATTATCTACTTTGTTTCTATGTGCATCCTGAGTAAAACTCACTATTATTATTACAACTGTTTGTGACAACTCATCATTTTTTTTACTACCCTAGTTTCATTAGCACTTAATTTTCTTGACCTGTATTACCATCCTCCACTTGTTTAGTTAAAAGTAACCTTAACCAATTGTAACTTTGTTGGACAAACTTAATGTACACATACATACAAAACAATGCATATATATTTGCGATTGTACAGCTAAGAAAATGAATTCGCCGAAAAGAGACTCTTCGCTGATCTACGTGTTTTGTTTTCATTAATGCCTGGATGGGGATTATCCATGAATATATGATTACATCTCAAGCCACTGTTTGAATTATCTGACGGACGTCACGTAGGGAGTCTTGATACACCAACAAATTTTGGCCTAACATAACTGTCCTTTGTCTCACAGTGCCATGTCATAGACTTATCATCCCTCCACTCTTTACACTAAGTCACAGGGCTAGAAAACAGATGGTTGTATGGGATCTTTTGGAGTGACATTCGTAGCGCTTGTCTGTGCTACCGAAGTCGATGTTCCGAGGTGAAATATAACCACTATGTGCAAACACACTATCGGAGGTCAGAATTTTCGCATGTGATATTACCACTAGATGCAAGCAATACTACGAAGACAGAAGTGATCCACCACTCGGAGTCTCTACACATTCTCAACTCTCGGAGTGACCAGGTTTCACAGGCGTTGAGTAAGACTGTGTGGAATGGAGTATTGTAAATCCGAACTTTATTGAGACGTCATAGGTTGCCCAAGTTAGTATATGTCGTTCTGACTTTCATTATACAATTATAGATCTCATTCATCACACCTCTAGCGTTTTCATAACTACTTAGACACTCAAACGTTTTGACAACTTCAACAGGTTCACTTGCAAGGGTGAATGTAGATACAGGCCTTTGTCAATATTTTGCACTTAGATGGTGCAAAGGACATACCATACTTACAGACGCTGATCGTCAATTGCTTAGGGTGCCTGCATATTATGGCACAGTAGGACGATGTTGTCTGTGTACTTGAGGTGGTAACGTGTGTCTCTGTCGCACATGTCTTTCACAGTTAAAAAGAAATGGTGAAACTGGGCAACTCTGTCTAACCCGACTATTGGCTCACCAGTATCACACTGGATTGAATTTATTAACAATTATGTCAAGTTATAGGTTCGACTCTGTATCTACTTAGGCGAGTGTTTTGTTTTTACGGTGTTATAGTGTTCTCTGAGCTCTGGATGGCTTAATTGTCTGGTTGTCCTTATCCTTCTGGACAGTATCTTCACTTCTAACTTCAGTGCGGAGCTGTGCCGATAAAACCATTTAGAGGTGAGAGCACATAGTACCAACAAACGTTCAGCTATGCTCCAAATCTTCATTATTTCAACTGGTTTGTGCTGTTGAAACTCTCTCACATTTAGTACATACGTCTTTATCACTTTGACGACGTCTGCTATTCTCCATCAAGGTATGATTTTCAATTATATTTTTAATACTTTGATAATCTGTGGTAGTCTTCGTCATTGCCTCCCTTTCTTTCCTTTAACTTCTTCTTCTTCTTAGTGAATGAAAAATTCATCAATGGTACTTATCGAGGTATTCGAGAATTTGTCTGTGATTTCCGTCTGATGCTGTTAAATTGCTATCGTACTCATGGGATTTCATCACGTGCTGGACGTTGTGCTGAAAAATTGGAATTATTGCTTGAACAAAAACTTCAACTGTTATCCCCGTAAGTTCTTTTTTATTTGTGTAAATGAGTGTTTAAAAAAATTGGAATCATGTACACTGAAAGGTCATAACCTGACTAATAGCTGCTACATTGACGCAGTGGTGCTCGACGTGGCATATTTCAATGACCTAACGAACTTTGCTGACTGGAACTGATGTTCCTACAGGTCCTAATTATGCGAGAAAGGTTGTTTTGATAACGGTTAGACTAAAAGCAGGTGACATAATAGTGTAAGTCACTCACATTGTGTACGGAGTTTGTTTGCCTGTCTGTTTTCAACATAGAACTTTGCACTGATGTGCAGCAGTTCAAGTAGTCATACTCCATGTAGCACACAAAGCAAGAAAAGAAAGTAGAAATGCAAAATAGAGACAGTAGACAGGGATATGAGACAAAAGGAATAGTATTATTCAAGAACAATATAGTTTCATTAGAAATTATAAATCATAAGGAGTGGATGCATCTGCGTTAGCCACTGAGAACGATTTTGAGCCATTTCACCGATTGTCTCCAGCCATTGGCTTTTACCGTCCCGAGGACCCCAACCAGTCAGGAAGTCTACACCTTCCTACGTGGTTTAAGCTAACTGTTATCGATTTCATTGACTGATGAAGCCATGTTTTGGTTTGACCACCACTAGCCTTCTCTTTTCTAACCTGATCCATCCTATGTCAGCTAACATTGACCATCGAGGAACGCGATGATCAGGCATACATAACACATGTCTTAAACATCTCAGTCGATGTAACTTCACAACCTCAACTATTGATTTCCCCCCTTACCTAGCACTTGACACCGAACCTCAATATTGCTCACCCTATTATACCACCACTCCATACGGGAGATAGAACGCAGGCACATATGATCAAAGACAGCTAGCCGGCCTTTTCATGTCTTCCACTCTCAATGGCCAGGTCTCAGGTCTGAGGGCGAAGTTGGACTATTGGGTGTGACTGACAGCAGTAAAGTGTTTCTCTCAGATGACCAGCAAGCCAGCTATCCTACCTTCCCATTTTTGGGGAGAGAGGGATGGTCAGCAACGGTGAACCGCGAAATGGTCATACACAGTTTCATAAACATACTAAACTTTTCTAAAGTCAGTCAGTCAGTCAGTCATAGTTCGCTGAATGTAGCTGGTAGAATATATGTAACAGTAATAGGCGACCATACATTCAAGTCGGATTCAGCTAGATGCTGCTACAGGACTGGACCACGTCAACTCCTAGCTTAGTGACAGGGAGTGAAGAAGTGATAGAACATGTTGACCACTTCACCTATTTGGGAAGTTGTATTAGCACCAACCGACTGATTGGCGATGAAATCTTAGCACGGATCCAAAAAGCTCGAGCTGCTTTCGCTGACTTACACCATCTCTGGCGTAGGCGTGACATCCGGTTATCAACCAACGGACGTGTGTACTGCTCAGCAGTTCGCTCTATCCTTCTCTATGGCTCTGAAACATGGCCAATACGAGTTGAAGACATGAAAAGGTTGACTGTATTCGATCATAGATGTCTGCGATCTCTTTCTCACATTAGGTGGTATAATAAGGTAAGTAATGTTGACGTTAGACGTAGAGTGTTGGGTAAAGAGGGAAAATCAATCGACGAGGTTATAAAGTTACACAGATTGAGATGGCTAGGTCAGGTGGTGCGCATGCCTAATCATCGCCTCCCTCGACGGGCATTACTAGCTGATATAGGTGCAGGTTGGAAAAGAGTAAGTGATGGCCAAACAAAAACACATCCCATCAATCCATGAAATCCTTGACAGTTAAACTGATTCGGTCAGGTAGGGAGATGCAGACTTCCTGGTTGGGGTCCTCGGGACTGACTCTAGGAATCAATGGCTGGAGACAATAGGTGACATGGTTCAAAATCGTTGTCAATGGCCAGGGCAGATGTATTCAGTTTCTGTAATCTTTCATATTCCTTTCTACCACTCTACCAATTCTGTTTCACTCTTATACATGTCAAGCTCTATTGATTCTCTTCACTCATCTTCTTGTCTACCTTTGTGTGGTATTTGGAACGTGGCAACTCGAACTGGTGCACTTCGGTGCCAAGTTCTATGTTGAATCCAGACAAACAGACAGATTTAATCTCTGGACTGACTTTGCGCTCGTTTGAAGTGAAACTTATCAGCAATATACACCATTTAACTCAATTCAGACCGCTGAATTAATGAGATTTGTCATTTGAGCTGCCAGCAACCTAGCTATGCAGTTAACCTGTTCTAGACAAGAAGGGTTAGTAAAACTTAGTACCAAATAATAAACTATTGTTTTATAAATCACATCCTATATTCCCTTTTTACAATCTTCTTTAACATATCCACATAATTATACATTTTTGACATTTGCCTCTGAAATGAACAATAATTTAAGTCCATTTTCTGCCCCATCTAACCTCAGCCTGAGGTTGTTGTGGGACGTAGAAATCTGCATAAAAGTACAGAGGCTCAAGTTACCGAACTCCATATAGCACAGAAAGGTGTAGAAGAGAGAAAAAAGAAGTGATTGGCTGTTGTGTAAGAATAGTAACATGGAAAAACATGAGGGTTCAATGGACCTGAGGTATCACGTAAAGAGTGAATGCATCTACGCCTTGGAGAACGGTTTTGAGTCACATCAGCTAGCTACTGGGTCTTGTCATTTCGAAGAGCCCAACCAAGCAGCCTATATACCTCCCTAAGTATCTCAAATCGACGTCATGGGTTGATTCCAAGTAGTTTCCAACCTGATCTTATGTCAGCTGATACTGCTCGCCAAGCAAAGTGATGGCTTATTGCTCGAGTTCCTTGTTGCTTATCACTGTTGAGCTATGACAGATGTTGATGAACGCATGCAAGACCCGAATGTGTGCTTAACCACTTAACTCCACCCGGCCAACAAAGTGAATCTGCAGAATTCACCTTAAGGGTGTCAGGAGACTCCTCAGATAGTTCTCGAGGACTCGCAGGTGTGGAGGATAACATTGAGTGTTGGGGCAGAAAAATCACTTCTTGATTGGATACCGGTGGATAGTTGTGTGTATGTGCAGTCCGTCTGAACAGGTCCGTTAGAAGAAGGAAGCGCGGCGTTACTTGTCGTTGTCTTTACATAGTCTCCGCTTACGCCTCAACCGACTGCAGTTCGGATGAACTAAAGGATGGTTTTTACCAGAAACTGTCTAGTTTGCTGCAAAAAGCAAAACGCTCAGATATAGTTGTTTTAGCAGGCGACTTCAATGCCCAAGTAGGCAAGTTGTGCCAGACTGAGAAGTATATAGGCGGTACGCAGTGATCAAGGCATTCTGCTCGAACTCATGGATCCAGTCAGGCAAGAGCCTACGGAAAGTTTTCATCTGAAGTGGTGACAATCAGGGATGCCAGCCAACTATCCCTATTTCTCTCTAATTTCACCATAGATGTACTAATCGAATTAACCCTGACTAAATTCAGCGAGTCAGGAATTGACTTTGTACCATCAGGAACCAATCTCGTTGACTTAAAATATGCAGATGATATAGCCCTCCATCCTAGGTGAGGTGAAAACTCTGACAAAATAGAGCGGTATCATCTGAACGCCTTAAGCTGAGCAGCAATCTTCGAATGTTTGTGGTGCGATTTGCTACCCTGGTCAAATGTAAGATGGTGCTACAGGACTGGACTACATTAACTCCTAGCTTAAAGATAGACAGTGGAGTGGTGGAGTGTGTTAACCACTTCACCTATTTGGGGAGTTGCATCAGATAGCGCCAAAGGGCTAGTCGGTGACAAAATCTCAACACGGAAACAGAAGGCTAGTTTCGCATATCCCAGTTTACGCCGTCTCTGGCGTAGACGTGATATTCGACCGGCTGTCGACCAAAGGACGTGTGTACTGCTCAGCAATTTTCTCTGTTCTCGTTTACAGCTGTTAGATATGACTATTGAAAGGGGAAGACATGAAAAGGCCGGCTAGCTGTCTTTGATCATTGGTGCCTACATTCTATCTCCCGTGTTAAGTGGTATAATAGGTTGAGCAATATTGAGATGAGGCATCGGTCGAGTGGTAGGTAGGTAGGTAGGGGAAATCAATCGACAAGGTTGTGAAATTACATCGATTGAGTAAGATGGTTAGCCCGTGTGTTATGCATGCATGCCTAGCCATCGGCAGGCAATGTTAGCTGACATAGGAGTGATCAGGTTGGGAAAACGCTAGTGGCGGTCAAACGAGAACATGACTTCATGAGTCAATGAAATCCATAACAGTTAGTTTAAGCCAGCCAGTCAGGTAGGGAGGTGGCTGAAGACAATCGGTGATATGGCTGGAAATCGTTGTCAATGACTAGCGCAGATGTATTCACTTTGTGATTTATAATATCCAATAGGATTCTATTGTTCTTCCATATATTAGTATTCTTTTCCTCTCACTCACATTTCTGCTTATTCCCTCTCTCTCTCTCTCTATTTTGAATCTCTTCACTCTCTTCTCTTGCTTTGTGTGGTACATGGAGGGAGTGTGGCAGCTCGAACTGGTGCATATCTGTGCAAAGTAGTTCTACGTTGAAACGAGTAGAGTAATAGAGAGGTTTCGCGTGCGTTTCGGATTGTGAGGGCGATTGTTACTTCCCGGCTGCCTACACCGTGGAAGTTGGTTGCGTGACCGCAGAGCCCAGGGGACAACTTCTTGAGTCCGGTTACACGCGGCCTGTTTTTGTTCGTTCTCTTTTGTTTGGTGTGCCTCAGTAGCATACTTATCACTCCTGCCCTGTGACACGGCAGCAGGAAGCGCGGTCGTTGTTAATCCGGGCCACGGCCGATCCGGCATGGAATTTTGTGATTTTGTATTGATCATGATGTTGGATTGGGTAGCTGCTTTTTGTTTTAACCGCTATCCAAACAACCTGCCTGGCATGGTAGGACCTCAAGAGACATAAGTCTCAGCCAGTATAGCTTGATTAGGTGATTGTGGTGTTCAAGCCCGACCACCACGTCAAGGTAGCAGCTTTCGGTCGGTCTTTGATCATAGGTGCCTGCGCTCTATTTCCCGTGTAAAGTGGCATAATAAGGTGAGCAACATTGAAGTTAGGCGTCGAGTGCTAGGTAAACAGGGGAAATCAATCGACGAAGTCGTGAAGTTACAAAGACTGAGATGGTTAGGACATGTGTTACGTAGGCATGCCTAGCCATCGCCTCCCTCGACCGAAGAGCTATGTTAGCGGATATAGGGTCAGGCTGGAAAAAAGCTAGCGGCGGTCAAACAAAAACTTGGCATCAGTCAATGAAATCCACAACAGTTGGTCTAAGCCACGTAGGAAGGTGTAGACTTCCAGGCTGGGATCCTCGGGACGGTAAAAATCTATGGTTGGAAACAATTGGTGACATGGCTCAAAATCGTTCTCAGTGGCTAACGCAGATGCATCCACTCCTTGTGACTTATGATCTCCAATGAAACTGTTTTGTTATTCGTTATTGCTCCTTTGTCTCACACCTCTGCTCACTGTTTCTATTATGCTTTTCTTATACTTTCTTCTCTTGCTTCGCGTGCTACACGGAGTGTGGCGACTTGAACTTCCGCACATTTGTGCAAAGTTCTATGTCGAAAACAGACAGACAGACAGGCAGACTACGTTGAAACCCGAAGTCAGTCAGTTAGTGATGAATGTCTACAACAATAACCCCGTGCAAATGCCTCATGATAGATCATTTCCAAGTAAGTGAGTTAAGAAAAACCATAGATCACACTGTGAGCAAATAGTCATAATTACTTTCTGTCAGACTAAGTTGTGTAGTTTATTGTGTTGCTTGTGTAATCACTCTAGCCTCCCGCCATTACCCAGCCCCTTTTGTAAATACTCTATTTGAAGTTTATTTAAATCATCTACCTCTCTCTCTCTCTCTTTCTGTTCATTATTTTCCTAATTTAGTGAAATTCGTAATAAAGCATCTATACAGTCAACCCTTGGATTTGGTACTGCTGAAGATGAATTACTCGATTGCGGTAAGTAGGTATTAAGAAATAAATCTCTAACCAGTGAATCTATCTGTTCAGTGTTCGCTTCTCCCTCTGTGTGTCTCCGTATTTACAAAAAAATTGTTTACATTACTATCTAGCTTACTCAATATACTAGTGTCGTGCCTCTCGTCCTTTGTTTGGTGTAGACTGAATTCTCTCTTAGTCAAGTTTGCAATATGTGGCCACCATGCCAGATGACTCGCCACTGCAGTGCACTCTAAATTATTGTTGGAGGGAATCGACAGGAAGCATTGAACTTAGTGTTTTTTTGCTTGTTGGCACTCGTCCGTCAGCAAGGCGTATCTACAACCTTGGAGGAACATGGCTGATAAAAATTCAGTCTGTACCAAACAAAGAACTATTTACTGATAACTACCTATTGTTCGATTAAAGTATCTAATACGGTCCTATAGAAGGTGGTCAATTGTGAGCCCGAATAGACCAGTGGGAATATTCTTGGTTGAAGCACTGACTGACACGGGCCCGAGTCTCAAGCCGGGGGGGGGGCACATGAATTCCTCCAAGATTGTAAATACGTTTTGTTGACCAACACTTTGTTTGCCTCCACCCGTCTAATAATACCTAACCACAACAGGTCGGATGTTAGAACAACTACTCGCCATGGATGACCATTGGCTAGTGTCAGTCGCGCGCTATATCATGAATTATCAGAAGTTGGAATTCATGGGCTGGCCATTGGATTGGGTGGGTCCCAGCGGTTTAATGGTCTATGTGCTTGCCTTGTAACCAGAAGATCCTGGGTTTAAACCCCGGTGGATGCATACTGCTGGAGAGTTCCAAAATAGAACGAAGCAGCTGACTGTCAAGTACTCCCTGTTGGGGTTTTCCAATGGTTCTCTAACCGATGTTAGTTCATGATGAAATCCTGTAGGCAATACCTAATTATGTTTAGTTAAGGTGAAACTGCCAGCAGAAACTAGGTTGAAAATTTCATCCCATTCGGCATTCGTCAGCTGCGTGTATCTGCATTCCCAGTAAGTGATGCTATCCATCAGTATTCATTTCAAAACTCAAAGTATTATCCATTCGACCACAAAAACCACATCTTGTGCATGACAGAACATGAAGGCGTTCGCACTAAACGCTGGCATCTCGACAGAGATCGAACATTTCAATCCAGTCTAGATGTACAATCAATCAATTCCTCAAAAAAAATACCTCCTGTATTTATTGTCTAACAAAATCAATAAAATTGAGTTTATTTAAACTGGGTATCATTTGGAAATCTACTCATGACAATTCATTCTGATTATTGCGTAATCTTTTTGAAAAAATAAATATTCATAGCCTAGCCTTCATCAGCCTGAAACCGATGTGGAAATCTTCTGCACTCCGCCCCAGCACCACAAAGAAGATTCGGATTTTAAACACAAATGTCAAGTCAGTTAGTCAGTCAGTCAGTTCTTCTATAGGGGTCAGAAACTTGACATCCAGCGTGTCACAAAAAGCATTTCCAACAAGTTACAGACCTTAATCAACAGTTGCCACCTTCACTGACTGGTCCCATACTTAAGATCAAATAGCCAGCTGGCCAGAAAAAAATTAGCGACAAGAAACTCCTTTGAGGAGACCGTCGAATGACATCGTTCGCAATGTAGGCCGTTGTTCGGGTGGAAGCCATGAGTGGGTCATTGGTGTGAGGGTGACATGGAGGAGAAAGTGAGAGATTATGGGCAATCGTGGACTCAGCTGAACAGGACAGCAGAGAATAGGACAAGGTGAAGATGTGTTATTGATGCCCTATGCTCCATTCTTGGAGACTTGGTGTTCTCTTGGAAGTGTCTGGGTGGTTGTTACTTCCCGGCTGCCCACACCGTGAAAGTTGATTGAGTCTTCGGGCACCTGAAACGGAAAGAGATTTAGTGTTGCGTCACTCCGGAGCCCAGGGGACAACTGCTTGAGCCAGGCCGGTCACACACGGCCTGTATGAACTGTTTTCTTGGCTTGGTTCCGTATTAGTAAACTTACCGCCGGTTACGGACCACCACCGTAGGGTAAGTTGGGATGTACAGTTGTTGAGGTTGACCTTTTCTAACCCCCTCTCTCTCCAGAGTGGAGAGACAACATAGCTGACTGGCATGAGGGAAACACCTCACTGTTGTTACATCCCTGTTCCCCAGCAGTACGACTTCGCCCTCAGAACCCCAGCACAGTGTAAGAAAGATTCTTACACTAAGCCAGTAACTGCTTTTAGTCTAATCGCTATCCTAACAATTTTCATGGCATGGTACGACCTGCATAAACAATAGTTGGAGCCAATGTAGCTTGTTGGATCATTGTGATGTGGAAGCCCGACCACCACGTCAAGCTAGCAGCTCTCGGTGAGGCATGTTTCACTCAGAACCCAAAGGTATAATAATTACAGTTATAGATGGATGTTTCTGTGTGTGGTTAGGTTTTCTGGACTCTGGATGGTCTAACTGCAAAGCTCATTGTCGTCAATCGTCCTTAAAAATGTTGTGTGTTGGCACTGAAGATGTCTAGAGGGACAATGAAAGGTATACCAATAAACCATCTAGCTGTCAGAGAACTCAAACACACTAAAAGACTTATAATCTCTTGGTAAATGTATTAAGAATACTAACGTTACGTAAAGAAACATTAAAAACTAGGTGTGGGGAGGGATGGTACTGGACATCTGCTTCATTCTGCTTTTAAGACTCTTTCCCAGTAAATACGAATGACGGACGGTACAGCTGTCTAGTGCTGCGTGGTCTTGTTTTTTGTGTTTATCTAAATGATGTGCCAGTTCGTGAAAATATCTATTATGAAATCAGTTATTACTTCCCGGATACCCAGACTGAAGCAGGCGGTTTTCTTAAAAAGCCACCTGTGTTCCTGGGCCTTTGCTTTGAAGTCTGATTCACAAGCCATTGGAGCAGCTTCAGGAGCTGCCACATTCCCATGCCTTCCTATGACCGAATTGGGTCCACCATTGGATCCGTTCGGATTCTGGAGCCTATTTACCCATCCATAAGTTTGGAATCATCTTTAGCTTCCCTAGATAGAGCGGCATATTCACCACCAATCAGGTTGTAGGCAACACACGTTTGAATTCGTTCTTTCGCTTTTGTGAGGAACAACTCAGCAGCGGGAAGCCGGTGAATAAGACCTACCTGACAGAGCCAATGATCGCATGGCCATATGAGGGGATTTTGAGAGTAACAAAGAAGTCTACCTGCCATAGGCCGTACCAGGTCGTTTATGGGGAACATTAATCTCTAATTGATGTATACATGACTTATTCGTCGTTTAGACATTGAACCGTTAACTATAAGTTATCATTTTTTTTCTAGGTATAACACGTCGTCGAAGTTCTGGACGTCTTTTTCTCTCTGGTGATTCACGCCAGTTAACACCGATACGTGCTATCATGGAAGAATTAGAGCATGTTACACATCCTGGTTCTGGTACCGGTGGTATAACCGCTTCATTAATCTCAAACAGTATCGATTCATCCACATCAGCGTCATCATCTGGCCAACAAACATCAGCTATCAGTAGTACATTGAGCACTGAAGAAAATATTGCCATCTTAGTGGCTAGACTAAGTTTATGGCAACGTCGAAGACATGAAGAAGAACTGCTGGATACATGGAATAGCTGGTGGGTGGAAAATAATGGACCGAAAATGCAAGAGATATTATTCAATGCTCCTGAGGTTAGTCCAACTGATTCAATATGTGTTCCTTTCTGTGTCATGTTTAGTACTTAATAATAATAATTTACTTTATTCCAAAAACAGTACTTATAATACAAAATGGAATTCTCAGCATTTGTCACAATATTCCATCTGATTTACTTAAAATATAAATGAAATTAAAAATTAAAACAAAAGTAACCAGAGGGATTTGTCCACGTTTACGATATAAAGTCAAAAATATTCGAAGTACAAATTGATAATATTAAATATAATAATAATAATAATAATAATAATAACAATAACAGTGAGTTTGTTTCAAACAGTATTGTCGATTCATTTTGAAAACTTTAGCATGTTATAGGTTATTGGATCTAATATTCTGTTGATATAGTTGCATGGTGAGGGGAAATACAAAATTAACAGCTGTTCACACAGCTTATATGATGTTTACGCTTATGAAAAAATAAACAAATAAAAACAAAAATTGAGGGGATTATAAATATAAGAACAATAACAATAAAGCTTGATGAAATAAGGATAGAGAAAATGGTTGATTTAGTAGTGCAAAGAAGGTTAGTTAGTTCATCCCTGACACTGTTTTCATCACATAAAGTACGTGCCGTCAAATATGGTATAGTGGAATTTTTATACTTAGACGTACGTGCATAAATTCTTCTGAAAAGACTTCTTGTTTTACCTGAGGGGGAGACACAAGGTTGGAGATATGGGTGCTGCGATGGATGCTCACAGAGTGACAAAATCCCTCTAGCGGATTTGTTGCATGAAATCAAATGCCTATCATTAATGGCAATGTCAACGATATGTTCCAATGGAATACCACCACTCGCCCTACAGACTGACAGTCTTTAGAGTTCTACGAAGTATGACATAGTCTTTTTCAATTAATCCAGGAAAGAAGTAGCAAGGGTGAACAGTAAAGAAGAATAGGTAAAATACACGAGTTGACAAACTGTAAGAGGAGTGGTTGGGTTATGTATGCCTGAGTGCTTCAACTTCTTAGTGTAAAAAGTCAGACGAAATATTCTCTTAGAAATCGCTAGGACATGAGAAGAATTAATCCAAGATACTTAACTTCAAACTTGGTTTCTATATCAGTATCATCAATTTTTTTTAAAGGGTCATAGGAACCAACAACAGCTTCATCTAACTTTCGTTTACATCGAAAACTGAAATTAACAGTCTGGCCATTGAAAGGATTCAGTTTAAGGCCGTTACACGAAGACCATTTGCTAATTCCTGATAGAAAACTGTTCATCTTAGCACAGTCAAGCTGGGGGTTAACAGACATTGAAATAGTTAGATAATCGGCATACTTAACAAAGTTCATGTCATCATCAGCGTGAGACAAGTCATGCAAGAAGAAAGAAAACCGAAAAGGAGAAAGGACAGCACCTTAAGGGACACCAGCCTCAGTAAGCAACGTAGTGGACGGCTTTCCCTGACATACAGTGTACTGCATTCTTCCTGAGAAATAAGAATGCAGCCATTTGACAACCCAACAGTAGTCAGTTTGACTTTCAGCAAGCTTCTTTAACAAAATGTCCCTAGGTACTAAGTCGAAAGCAGATGTGTAATCTAGGAAGGTGCAGCGAACAAATTTAGTCCCCTTGTCTAAGCTAGAGACAATGTTGTGGTATAAGATTGCAACTGCATTTAGAAGTGCTTTTTGATTATTTTAATGCTGTGGTTTGCTTAGAACTGGACTACCATCCAAGTGGCTGGGCTATGAACCACACACTTATTGTCTGTGTGATTGCTGATGATACTGTCCAGTTGTAGTTGATAGAGCAAGATTCCAATTCGACCACTATCGGCTTATAGTCGATTGCTTAAGTCATTGGGAAGCCGCATCTTCACACTCCAGTACGATTGATAGGGTAGCTTCACGACAGAATTAAAGTTGAGGAGAGCATATGAAAAATATCAGAATTTTGTTTATTTATTGGAGTGTGTATATGTGCGTGTGTCTGTGTATGTGTGTGTGTGCATGGGAGTGGATTGGTTAGTACTCACTAGCAGCTCATACCATGGAGAATGATACTTGGTTTATCCTAAGCTCTAAAGAAGAATCACATGCGACTGATTTTATAAACAGGGTAAGCTGGCGGTGGGGGTGAGTGGGATCAAGTTTTTCAGGTTATAAGGAATGGGCCACAAGACAAAAAAAGTTAAAAAAGCGATGAATACTAGTACATATTAACAACCAATCAACACAAAGGTGGTTGTCAAGGGGTACACTTATATCATTCATGGTGAATTCAATTAATCTCACTTCATATTTAAGTTCACGCGTCGGTGGCACAGCGGTTGTGCTAACCGCTGCACATGGTCCGAGGTTCGATCCCCGACCGGCGGATTCCTTTACCTCGCTAAGCAAGAAATAATGCTGGTAAAGAGGAAAGGTTAGGCATGGGGCTTGCAACCCCATCCTGTAAAAACTAAACACTGCTACAGAAACTTCAAGCCACTAGCTTGAAACCCTATGCTCCACTAGGAACGTGAAGGAAAAAAATATTTAAGTTCACACCCGAACATGTTGGCCAGAACAAGACTTCACATTTAAACGATCCAGGTCAGAGAACACAATCACATCGAAAAATCATCTCAACAGTATACTGATTTGGCCCCTAGATCAGAGAATCAGATTAGTTCAAGTCCCTTGCTGATGATGAATTTGACTCCGAGTGTGGGGGTTGGGGTGCGAAAAGACAATCTAGATCACGTTGACCTGGCTAGTAAACAACAGTATAGGCCTTTCATTGCCATTTTATGATATCAAGTAGATCATATCTCATGATCTGAATCTTGGTGGATTTCCACGTCGAATTCGATTTTAAATTCTTCAGTCAATCTATTAAACCATTGGCGTCCAGAAATAAAGAGAAGTGAATAGTTCCCACCAACGCGTTAACGGAAAACCATACAGGTAGTGTCTAGCGAAGAGGCTTTTTCAGGCGAATTCATTCCCCCCACCTTAGCTGTACGATCGCATTTATATATACAGTTGCCAAACCTCCCTACTATTCCTTAGGCTTGGGACCTCCTAGAAAACTAATGAACTAGTAAACCAGACGATGTTAAGTCAGTTCTTCTTTGTGAGTCAGAAACTTGGCGTATCACGGAAAGTAATTCCAACAGGTTGTAAACTTTTAATTAACATCTGCCTTCACTTCATACTGAAGTTCAGAGACTCTGGGAACGAACCGACAAAGAACCTGTTGCTTAACAACATATACTGAAGAAAATGGACACATTTGGCTAATGATTTTTATTTATTTATTTTTATTTTTGATTACAGCTTGATTCCACACCTTATTTTTGGGACAAGTGTGGAATTTTCAGCGTGGATATCGGTAGCCCAAAATTCGCAGGCCGACCATAGATATCAGGTGTGCGTCGGCGTGGGCTCGAACCCCGGACCATGTGCATGGTCGGTGAGAGTCCTAACCACTGTGCCACCGACGCACATGTCGTGCGCCAGGGCATCACTCGACTGGTGGAACCTGGATGGGAAATAGCGAGTTGGGCCTAGGTCCGAGAGTAACACGGGGGGGGGAGATCGTTTAAGGTGGAGATGAAAGCTTGTCTGTCTGTCTGTCTGTCTGTTTTCGACATAGAACTTTGCACAAATGTGCGGCAGTCCAAGTCGCCACACTCCGTGAACAGGAATTGTGGATCCATCGAAATAGAATGCAATGGAGATATGTTGTTGAAGCTGTGTATTGCACTCCAGATTCATGGAAATACTGAAATGCTATCGTATAGATGCTTCACACGTCATACTAGTTACTGACTGGTGTCCTATCAAAGTATCCACTACAGTCCTACGGGAACGGGTCAATCACGAGCTCAGTGGTGGTGGTAATGTTTGTGACTGACTGCAGGTAGCCCTGGGTGATGCGGGTTCGAATCTCAGAAGGAGGGACATGAGTTGTTCCTTCAAGGTAGTTGGAGACACGCCTTGCTGACTGACTGACTGACTGGTGGGTGCCAACTAGCACGAAACCTAGGTTAAGCAAGGCTTCTTCTGGTCGATTGCCTCGAGTGGAACCCGAAAGGGAGGCGGCGAGTTGGTCGTCCAAGGGTGACTTGAAGGAGGTAATGCGAGGAGGAGATGAAAGCATGTGGACAGACCTGGAGCGGGGTGAAAAAGTTGTCAGAAAACAGAAGGCAATGGAGGTGCTTAGCTGAAGCCATATGTTCCTTTGGGAACTAAAGGATACAATAATAATAATAATATAATAGTCTAATATCATCAGATTCAGAAAGTTGAAAAAGGCATAATTAAACAACTAAGGGTTCATATGCCAACAGATACTAGAAAAACAGATCGACATCGAAATTCTAGTTATTAGTCCGAAAGAGTTGCTTTTAAGATGTACTATGAATGTACACTTCACATTCAACAAACTTTACTACAGGCAAATCGACGGTATTGCCATGGGTTCTACATTGGGGCCAATTTTGGCGGATTTCTTTCTTGCCAAGATTGAAAATGGTCCATTGAGACAAGTAATAGAGAAAACCGACACTTATTTTCGTTATTCTGATGATACGTTTATTATTCTTGATGTGAAAGCTGACAAGAATGAAATGTTAAAAAAGTTTAATGATGCACATCCATCGCTTATCTTCACTTGTGAAGAAGAACGTGATGGTAGACTACATTTCCGTGACGTCCAATTGAGCAGAATAGAGGATGGTTCACTCATTCCAGAGAGATGTCTATAGAAAACCCGTAGGACAATATACACATTTCCTCAGTTTGGTATCAATCCGATACAAAATCAATTTGGTCAGATGTCTCACGAATAGAGCAAAACGTATCTGTACAGATGTCTGCCTAGAAAATGAGCTAGGATACATCCAAAATACGTTAGTCCAAAGGGGTTATCCTAGTAGATTTGTAAGGAGACACGTGAATACCAGGTACAATAAAGAAAAACTGACAACAGTTGAAAAGAAACAACTGTTCCTGAAACTGCAATTCAGTGGGAACGTGGCTAGCGAAGTCTTACATCAGAGATTATCGAGAGCGATGAAACGGACTTATACTGCCGCCACCATTTGTTTGTCATTTTCCAGCCAATCATTTTTGATTACTCAGGTGATAGATAAGCTACCTAGCTGTGCCACTTCCATGTGTATCTATAAATTTAGTTGCTCCTGTGGAGAGAGCTGGCTATATAGGCCGAACAACTAGACAGCTTAACAAACACTCATTAATGAGCATCTTCCTTCATGGTTCGGTAAAGGTTAAATAAAATCTATACAAAGCTCTATTTTGGCTCATTTGATTGATGATAGAGGTCACCAAGTGGACAAAAATAGTGCCTTCAAAGTTATCTATCGATATTTCATCAAGTTTTTTAAACGGAATCAGAACCCGTTTTTTAAACTAAGGGTTTATCAGAAGATTATATGGACGAGTAGTTGATTTTGATGTGGTTGTGTTCTCTGAGCTGGGATGGTTAATTTGCGAAGCTTCCATCACCCTACTAGGTGACATCTTCAGCGACCATACTTCAATTTGAAGTGAGCTTTTGGATTTCTCCACGGTTTTATTAATCATCTCTCCTGGTGGTGACCTTGGACGTGATTGGTTGTTTTTGTATGTTTTCACACCTTCTAGGCTCCTTGTATTGGAACTGATTGTTTCTTTGACTTGAACTTTGACCGTTTGTGTGTGAGGTTTCTTTCTTAACAGTTGATAAGTTTTGTCTATCTGTATGTATCTATTGATTGATGATTCACTGGAATACCAGCCAAGCTTCTAAAAATTCTTTAGCATTCTTGTTGTTTCCTCTGTCTAATATTTGAACGTTGTCCCAGTCGAATTGATGTCCGTGGTTGTCTGTGTGTAGTGATATGAGGGAGTGGATATCATGTCTTTTGACGGCTAGCTTATGTTCGTGGATACGAAGGCGAAGAGGAGGGGAGTCCACTTTGGCCAATGTAGTGTTTTTCGCAGTTGTTACAATTTATTTTGTAGATGATGTTGGTTTTATCTTCTTTAGCTGTTGAGTCTTTTGGTTGACATAGAATTGAGTGAAGCGACCACACATAAACAACCAATCACATCCAAGGTCACCAGGAGAGATGATTAAAGTCATGATACCACGACACGAACACGTTCACTCCTTCGGTGCAAGCCTAAATCCAAACTATACCGGAAAACACTGTCCTCCTCGAATTGCAACCGTAACCTTGTAAGGGCACACATTTGAAATGAATCAAGCACTATACAACATTGAACTATGTTCGTGAATCTCATTGGATAATTCGTCGTTCGCTGATTGGTAGTTAGTTAGTGGTGTCCAAAGTTTAACTTGGCCCTAATGAACCTTCTTTATGCAATGGGATTACATTTTATCAGATTTTTCGGTTTCTAAGAATAACAGTCCTATACGTCTACTGATTCTTTTTTTTCTCTCTCTATATATATGTATATATTTCATTTGTCTTTTCAGCTTTTAGAAGCTTATCAATTCTTATGGTTGGCTGATCCATTCTTGGGTATAAGTGATTGTATCACAATATACAATAATAATAATAACAATCATAATAATCTTGCAGTCAATGCATTATCCACTACTGCATCGCATACACGTAGCCTGTCATTATTCGACTTAGAAATTGGATTATGTACAGCACCATGCGCTAGTCTAGTACTCAATGTCTGTATGAGTAATCTATTGGCAACACCAAAAGAGAGGAATCAAATTGTCAATGTATTGAGCAATACCACTACTACTACCAATAATAATAACAGCAGTAATAGTAATCTCAGTGTTGGAGCAGACTCCAGTACAACAACGGATTATTTTTCAGCAGCAGCAAGACGTTCACGTCAGCTAATGTCGACTACAAGTACACTTCCACCACTTGATTATGATATCTGGGAACGTCGATTATCAGCACGAGTTGATTCATGGTATCGATCATTTTGGGATAAAGGTAAAGGTGTTGTTGAATGGGTAAGTGAAATACACATAGCGTGTCTGAGTTTGCTCTTTTGTTTTCCCAACTCTTCATGCCCTCGGCGTTTAAATTTTTGGTAACAGTGGTGTTGTTCACTTCTACTGGGGTGTGAGGTTGCTAGCCTCACCGCTCACGCCCTACTGTCTCTCTTTTCTAGGCTTAGTACTTACTAGCTACAAGGTTGAGGAATGCATCGGCTGCTGGCAATTGGACACGGACCTCCTATGCACGTGGTTGCCAAGCATTCTAAGACTGAACCCGCGACGAACATAAATAAAATTATGTATTCAGTTGGTGGTGTAAATACTATGTGGACCTGATTCTTGTTTTGAAGAGAGTTTGCGTTTTTGAAATCAAAAATCGAGTGTATATTATTTTCTCGTTTGGCCATAAATTCGTATGAGTTAGAGAACCATTGAAAGTGCACAGGGAGTACCCAACAGGCGTTTCGTTCGAGTTTGGGACTCTTCATTACTGTGCATCTAAGGCATCGAACCCAGCACTTTCAAGCTACAAGGCGGTGAACTCGCTGACGATTTAGCCACAGTGGGATGCAGTCCGATGGCTCATGACTTCTAACTTCTGCCCAGTTCGCGATCTCAGCGTGGCCATCATCAATGGGCGATTGCTTGTCCTAGAATCCGACTAGGTAGACCCTGCTGATCACAACTTTTCACCAGAACTCCAGACAACTGCTTTCTGTAGTCAGACACTAGTGGACATCAGATTAATTTCCAGGAGTTAACTTGTAGGATTCCGTCCTTAGTGGCTGAATGTTCAGCGAACCCTGGGTTTGATCCTGAGTGAGGTCATAGATGCGTGCTGATGAAGAGTCCCAAACTAGATCGAAACAACTGTTGGGTACTCCCTACCCACAAACTGAATTAGAAACAAACTTTGTCAGTTAAAGAATCCTGCTGAGGAGCCAATAAAACAAAACGGTGTAGTTTATCTAATATACCTTCCAGTGATTGTTAGGTCAAATATATAGGTCAGAGTGGTACAACCGGGTCAGTCAGTCAGTCACACTAGCGGAGCATAAAAACCTAACAGCAAAATCTAGATTAATTGACCCAAGTAAGATAAGAAATCTGGAGAATATTTCAGCTATAGCACTCACTACATGCAATTACACACAACCGGCCCTACAACAGGATGGGATAGGATGACAGTCTTATAATCGAATAAAACTGTGTGAATGCAGGGAGAGATTGACAACGGAAGCCTTATTTATCGAGTCAACTGAAAATGCATACCTGCAAAGGAGAATGATTCAACATCTATCCCAGATATCTGGAAAATTCTACTAATCCTACGAAGAAAACTACAAAACTGAAGTTTCGAAATCGTTTGATTATAATTGATGAAATGATTATGAACAATCATGATCGTCATCCAGTTAACAATGATACGGTTTAACTGTGTGATATATCATCTAATAAACAAATTAATATGGAATTACATGCAAACACAGTTCCCGAGTTTTACACTTATTATGACAACTTCATCTTGTAGTCAGTTATTGGTGTGAGCAGCAGATTACTTTTCCAGGTGTTGATTGATTTCAAGTTTGATCAAGGGTTCGATTCCCTGCCGGCACACTCTTTCATCTCACCTCATTTGCTAGCCAGTTGTAAGTCACCTGGAAAAGGTGGGAAAGTTAGGCAGCCTCATCCCTTCAAAATACAATCCCACTGCTACAGAATCTTCACTTCCACTTGGTACACAGAGAGAATAGAGAAAAGATGTCTGCTTTCAACGTAGCGCTCTGCATCATCTTTAAAGCGTATGGAAGGAATTTAACGCAGCTGTACTCATCTGGTCGTAAATCTCCTTATTTTGTTTTACTTAATCAAAAGTTTTGTGTTCAGTTGAAATAGTTGTGCACGGTAAAATACTACTGATATATTTGATAGTAGTTAAAGTTAAATGAGTTAATTTCTGAGGTGCATTGGGCCGTATCTTACAGTTTAAGTATTGGGGTGTAAATTGCTCTTCAGACAATCTGGTACGGTTGACAATGAGCAGACTTCGATCTTCCTTATGATATTTCTCCATTTGGCCACGCATTCCTTGCCTTTGCAACGTAATTCCTATTCACCACCTTCACATGGCGGAGATGTTCCGAACAAAAATGAAAGTGCGGTTGCATATATTTGGTACTTACAACTGTACTGGTGTACTTAGGGGTGTTGGAGTAGCCTGATTTGAAACCTATGCAGGACAAGAATCTAGAACACATCGAATAGCGCTTGAACTTGTTCTGGTCACCGGGAACCAGGAGAATGTAGCAGATCCCTCGATGCTGCTCTATTGTCTGTCTGTCTGTCTGTTTTCGACATAGAACTTTGCACAAATGTGCGGAAGTTCAAGTCGCCACATTCCGTGTAGCACGCGAAGCAAGAGAAGAAATTACAAGAAAAGCATAATAGAAACAGTGAGCAGAGGTGTGAGACAAAGGAATAGTAATAACGAAGAGCAATAGAGTTTCATTGGAAATCATAAGTCACAAGGAGTGGATGCATCTGCGTTAGCCATTGAGAACGATTTTGAGCCATGTCACCAATTGTTTCCAACCATAGATTTTTACCGTCCCGAGGACCCCAGCCTGGAAGTCTACACCTTCCTACGTGACTGGCTTAGACCAACTGTTGTGGATTTCATTGACTGATGCCAAGTTTTTGTTTGACCGCCGCTAGCTTTTTTCCAGCCTGACCCTATATCCGCTAACATTGCTCGTTGAGGGAGGCGATGGCTTGGCATACGTAACACATGTCCTAACCATCTCAGTCTTTGTAGCTTCACGACTTCGTCGATTGATTTCCCCTGTTTACCTAGAACTCGACGCCTAACCTCAATGTTGCTCACATTATTATGCCACTTTACACGGGAAATAGAACGCAGGCACCTATGATCAAAGACAGCTAGCCGGTCTTTTCATGTCTTCCACTCTCAGTGGCCAGGTCTCACAGCCAGCCATAAAGGAGGACGGAGCGGACTGATGAGCAGTACACACGCCCTTTGGTCGATAGTCGAACATCTCGTCTACGCCAGAGTCGGCGTAAACTAACAATTGCCTTGTTGATCAGACTTCAAATCGTAGGCGTGTCCGGGAAGTATCCCAGGCCTAGCACAAACTATAAGATTTTGTCTGGTGCATCTTTCGGTGCCTGATAATTTCTCGAGTTCTTGTTCTAATCATAATAAATAATTGCAACTGTGTTTTCACTGACTTATTGCGAGTCCATTGTCGAAATCTTGTTCGTCGACTGTTTCTTCACAAATAGTCGAAATTCACTTTTAAAGACATTCGGATCCATGCACAAGTTGAAATTATTGATTATTGAAGAATTTCTAAAATGTGAATTGAGAACTTGCGGATAATCTTGGATCCATAGTGAAAAAGGACAGCGAAAAAGAAACCCGGTGTGAAAAGGCAGTGTACCGCCGGAGCCTTATGTTCTGCTTGTAGTTGAAGAGATGGAGAATACTAAGAAGTAACACGAAGTCACTGTTTGTTGATTGGAATTGCCTAAAAGGAGTTGTAGGCTGTAGTGATGGAAGCCTTGAGAATAATGAATGTCAATCACTATGTCACTGGTCATCTTCCTTGTCCGGTAATGTTAGCTAACATACGATGAGGTTAGAAAAGAGTTCGCGGGTGGTCAAACGCAAACTTGCCATCAGTTCATGAAGTCTTTGACTGTCCTTAACTGCCTTGAGAATGGAGACTGTTGGTGACATGGCTCAAAACCCTTCTCACTGACCTCCCAGATCCAGTAAAGGCTCATGTTCCGCCATGTATTTGTTCTTTTTCCCAAACATTTTCGCCCATTGCATTTCCCTTGGATAAAGTTAAAGTTATTTTTCCCAATATTTGTGTAGAGCACATGAAGTGTGGCTACCTGAAGTACTGTACTTCTGTGCAAAGTCCTATGCTGAAGTTCAGCCACCTTATGTTTTCATGTCATTGTTGTTGTCAAAATTTAACCAATTTTTCTCCATTTACCCTTGACTGCTACTATTACTAGGCAACATATCGATTAGGATTACCGAAAGCTTTCTTTGATGTTTGTGGTTACAAGTCGAATCCATTGGAAGAAAAACGCTTCCATGAATTATCAATCTATCAACAAGTTATGCTACTCTGTGCTCTATGCGAATCAACTGTGGTGAGTTATATATATATGTTTATACATTTTAATTTTGTTCATTCATATAACAACATTGACAATATCTCCTTGGAGGTTCTTATTCAATTATTTTGAAATCGAGGTGGCAGTTGGGAAGGAATGCTATGAGTTTCAGTTACTGCCCAACTGGATGGGTGTTTCGTGCAGCATATCTGTATGGACAGTGTAGGTCTGTGGAATGTTGTAGTATCTTATTTTGTCATTTTGACGTGATTTCCGGTCGAAGGGTTCCCAGCTCGAATTCCTCTCCGCCTATTTCATCAGTCCGCTCCGTCCTCCTTTATGGCCAGCTGTGAGACCTGGCCACTGAGAGTGGAAGACATGAAAAGACTAGCTGTCTTTGATTATAGGTGCCTGCGCTCTGTTTTCCGTGTAAAGTGGCATAATAAGGTGAGCGACATTGAAGTTAGGCGTCGAGTGCTAGGTAAACAGGGGAAATCAATCGACGAAGTCGTGAAGTTACAAAGACTGAGATGGTTAGAAAATGTGTTACGTATGCCAAGCCATCGCCTCCCTCGACGAGCAATGTTAGCGGATATAGGGTCAGGCTGGAAAAAAGCTAGCGGCGATCAAACAAAAACTTGGCCTTACCAGTCAATGAAATCCATAACAGTTGGTCTAAGCCATGTAGGAAGGTGTAGACTTCCTGACTGGGGTCCTCGGGACGGTAAAAATCTATGGTTGGAAACAATTGGTGACATGGCTCAAAATCGTTCTCAGTGGCTAACGCAGATGCATCCACTCCTTGTGACTTATGATCTCCAATGAAACTGTTTTGTTCTTCGTTACTACTATTCCTTTGTCTCACACCTCCGCTCACTGTTTCTATTATGCATTTCTTCTATCTTCTGTTGCTTTGTGTGGTACATGGAGTGTGGCGACTTGAACTTCCGCACATTTGTGCAAAGTTCTGTGTCGAAAACAGACAGACAGTTTTTAACCTGGGTGTCAACTGAGTCGTGTGTCCTTAGCTTCTTATTACACAATATGTGGTTTATGCATGAAAATTCCTTTCTTGGTAACCGGAATTATTCAGATCACAGTATATACGACCACCTTGATAGTATAGTCCTGGGTTCGAATCCCGGCGGGTGCGTACTGATGAAGAGTCCCAAACTAGGACGAAACAGCTGTCCGGTACTCCCAGGTTTTCCAATGGTTCTCTAACTAATGTCATATCATGATGATGATGAAAATCCTGTAACCAGTTAAATCTCTACAAACCAACACTTGAGTATAAATAAATGCCAATCAAGAAAGCAAGCATTATTGTATGATGGTGGTATATACCAGTGTGTGGTTAGTGGTAGTGCTTGCTAACTACATTGCAGTAATCAAAACATGAGACTGTCGTTTGCTCAAGTAGCTAACCAGAATTCTGGTGATTCAGCCGTTCCATCCGAGTCAAAACGGGTGCACCGCTAATGAGTTGGACCCCAAATAGTCTTTCGATGTTTAGATCACTTCATTCTGGCCAGCAGGTACTTCTGATTCTTCGTCTACAGTTGTATGATTTCGTCATACTTTAAGAAAACCAATTCGTATGGATAGGCAATAGATAAATCTTAAGAATGTGTCTCTGTTACTACTGGATGGGATTGTATCTGGCATACCGCAGTAAGAAGTTCTTAAGACTCAGAATGATTTCAATTCTTGAAATCCGTTTGTCCGTTTCTATGCCATTTCAATTTGGTCATGACACAAACACCGAAACAACAGTGAACAAATAAAACCGTGTGCGTCACTAATGGCACAGCGGTTAGGACGCTCGCCGACCATGCATGTGGTCCAGGATTCACTCCCCGGCCGGCCCACACCTTATATCAGTGGTCGGCCTGATAAATTTGGGCTACCAGTAGTAACACATGCTGAAAATTTCATAGTTGTACCAAAAATCCTGTGTGGAATCAAGCTATAATAAAAAAAAATAAAAAGTACATAAAATAATGACTGGACAATGTTTACTGTCTAAACGGAGAATGGAGTGGGTTGTCAGATTGTCAATATATGAAAGTATAAAGATTGTAGTTAAAATAGCTTATATAACGCCACAATAAGTAGTGGCTTTTCTAACTGAGTAAACGAGAAGATAGCACTCTTACTTTATAGTCGAAGAGTGCTACATTGGAGTTTAAATGGGATATTCATCGTTCAGGGAGGTGCAGATGTTTTATATACCATGACGAGTGCACGAATGGGTCAAGAAGCGTATCCTGGATTTCGTTGCTAGCCACCACTACAAGATATTAAACTATTTTTAGGTAACTGAATATAATTCACAAGAAATTGTTACTTGATATCACTGTTTCTAGCTTTTTGACACATGCCAGTAAGTGAAAGTGAATGTGGGTGGTTACTACTACTCCCTCGACTGCCTACACTACGGGGTGGATTTCTTCTCTGAGGTACCTAACATAGAATGAGGATTGGTTATGCATGACCTCAGAGCCCAGGAGACGAGACGTGTGAGGTCGGTCACACATGGTTCGTGTGTTTGTTCGCCGGCTACGGAGTGTCGCTGGGTAAGTTGGGATGTATAATTTTCGGGGTTGACCTTTCCTAGCCTTTCCCTCTCTCTCTCTCTCTCTAGAGCCGATCGATAGACAGCATAGCAGACTTGCTGATCATTTGCGGGAAACACTTCACTGCCTTTACCATCCCTAATCGCCAACACTGTGATGGTAACTGCTTTTAATCTAATCTCTATCCAAAGTAAAGAACTTCACTAACATTGTAGGATATGGAAAAACATTCGTTCTAGCCAGTGCAATACGACCTGTTAGGTCACTACAAGTCCTAGGACCATCATATCTTTTGATTGAATACTAGTTACGAACTAGTCTCTAATACAGTCATACAGGAGGTCAAGCGAGAGTTCCAATATTTTATGTTTTATTATTCCCTTGGGTTCTCGAGTGGAACATAGGGCTTCAACCACACATCTCCACTTTCTTCTATTTTCTACCGTCCTACCGTCAGCTGGGTCCACAAGTTATCGAACTCTCTCTCTCTCATCTCTTTCTAACATGATCCCCTCTATGTCACCCTTGCACTGACGACCTACTCGTTGCTTACCAACTTCTCCACTAGAGGGCGATTGGCTCTCACATGTTGGTTTGTTCCCGTAGTTTCTTGTTGGTTATTCTTTCTGATCATTTTATCTTCAGTATGGAGCCAGCGAAGGCAGCTGTTGATGAAAGTCTGCAACAGGCTGTTAGAAATCCTTTTTGTTACACGCAAAGTTTCTCTGACCCGTACCCGTATAGGACTGACCGACATCACATCGGTGGCGTTGAAAATCTGAATCTTCTTCCTTATGCTGTGAGTGACAGTGGAAGATTTCCAAACTGGTTTCAGGTCGATGAAGGCGTATCTTGGTTTCCTTTCCGATTCTGACTAGTTTTGACATCTTCATCCCGTTCCACTGATCTGTATAGTTGAAACTATGAGCTCGAATAGCTCAGTGGTAATGTCTGTCTCTGACTGTAGCGCGCTGCATGATGTGGGCTCGAATCTCAGAAGGTAGGACCTGAGTTCCTTGAAGGCATTTGCAGATACGCTTTGCTGACTGACTGGTGAGTTGAGTGTTAAGTAGCACGAAATCTAGATCAGGTAGGGCTTCCTATGGCCGATTCCCCGCCAACCGTCTAATACCATCATATCGCGGTAGCAGCTATCGGCTAAGACACTTGCAATAATAATAATAATAATGATAATTATAATTTGCTTTATTCCAAAACAGTACTTGTGATACAGAATGGAATTCTCAGCATTTCACTACATACAGTATTGCATCCAGTTGGTACATTAACAATAAAATACAATTCTACATAGATTAAGGGTAATCTCAGTTCGTTTTGACTACAACATATTGGGATGGCGGTAGCAAAGCCAAAATTGAACAGTGTTTGAAGGTGTTAGAAAAGTAGATGGCAGCATAATTACTGGCGTAAGCGGAAGAAAGAAACAGAAAAAAAGAGAGAGAGAGAAAAGGAAAAGAAAGAAAGAAAGAAAACGTTGTACTTATAAATGACATGGGTTGGAAAGACGAGATCCAGTTGTTCTACTGACTATTTAATAAGTTATAGGTATCACGCCTAATGCTTTCGTTCCTTATCGCACAGAACACGAGCTAAGTGGGGTATGGATGAGTTTTTGTTTTTACTAGTGTGGGCATATATTTTCCTATGTAGGCTTCTTCTTTTCCCTGAAGAGGTACAAGGAGAGAGTTGTGAATGAAGAGGGTGTTGTGAGTTAGATAAAATGGATTTAGCGCATTTCTCACATGAGTCCAAGTGTCTGTCGACCAGAATATTAACAAGCTGGTTAAGTGGCACGTAGCTTACCCTGCTGACGTTAACCTTTAACATCCTGTGTAATAAGGTAAAGTCCTTCTGCAATATTCCTAGAAAAACTAAGGGGGAACAATAGAAAATAATAGGCAGGATGCAATAGTTGTCATCATACAGTTCATGTAACCATGTTTCTTGTAATGTGATTATACCAGTATTATGATAAGTGTCAATGGTCATCAGAGATTGTAGGTACATTATCTTGTTAGGCAGAGAGCGGCAGTTTGTGTTCATTATAACAGGGACCGTAGTTATACGTTTGAGAGCTAGCTCTTTGCCAACCACTGGAATGCTTCCTCCTTGATTTCTTGGGAGTAGGAAAGTCATTTGGTCTTAAATGATTAATAAAATTACGAGATTAAATGATCCTGTTTGAATTCATATTTTTAGTTGATAAATAAATGTGAGTAAACGGTAGAATAGATGCAATATGTAGATATTATAATAGCTGGCCCATAATTCGAACAGACCGCCAAGCCCCGCTTAGTGCTCACCATGCAGTGAGGTGTAACAGTCTGTCGGCCGGGAATCGAACCTTGAACCACATGCATGATTGACGAGCTTACTACCATTGTATGCATCACCGAAGCACTTTTTCTAATATAGTTGACTGGCATTCACTTTTAGTTGACTAGAAGAGTGTAATGTAAAGCCGATTATTCTTCAGTATTATGCGTGAATACTCATTACTTTGATATTTCAAAAAAATTCCTTGTCGTCTGCTTTCTTTCTTTCTCTTTTTTTTGATTTCACCAGAGATCATTTGAAAATCTTCGTGTCTCTCTAGATAGATCAGCTGATTGGGAGGCATCAAATCCTGTACAATTAGGCATTGATTTTTTTTCAAAGCATGTCTATGTACACTTTCCTCAACTGTTGGGTATCAATCCGACCACATGCTTAAGAGTTTATCGAATCCCTTATGTAAAACACCAGCCAATTGAATGTAGCTTCTTTAAAACAGCTAAAAATACCAATGCTTGTAACCTGAAAGATATGTACAAAGCAAAGATATTAAATGATTTTACAAAATTTGCAGAAATCTTGGAGGAAACTGTCAGTGTTAAAAGTGAGAATGATGACAACAGCAATAACAACAACAACAGTAAGAAGAGTAACAAGCGTAGACGTCCGTCAACAAAACTGAAACCAGAGGATACTATTGATCCTGTTAACCATCAGCAAAAACTGATTGAAGAATTGAATAAGCATAATAATTATCTGCTAGAAAATGGTTTATCAGTTCCTGGTGCTGTACAACGTTTTCCTAGTTGGATGCATCCTGCCCTGGCACGGGATACTTATCGTCGATGGCATTGTGTCGCTGAACAGTGTAGTGCTGCCGCCTCTGCCGCTGCCACTGCGAATCAAATCGATGAGTTGAATAAAATGAATACCACTACTACTACTAATAATAATCATCATAATAATAATAAGAGAACTGCAGACAGGAGGAGTTCAGTTGGCGTCTCCAGGGGCGCTACCTATCCTGACAATACACCAAACAGTAAAAGTCGTAACAGTATTAATAACAATGTTACTACTAATAAGGATGATTTACCATTTAAAGATTATCAAATTATTGATGAACAAATTATTTCAGAAATGATGAAACGTGATCATTGTCTGAATCCCTCTCCGTATGCATCATTCAATGGACCAACACGTAAATTTCTATCCCTTCAACTAAGTCGTACTGGTAAGTGTTGTATAGTGTGTTGTTATTGAGATTTTAGTATTTGTGCGGCTTTTCTTCTTACCTTTTTTGTTAAGTTCACTGACCATCTTCACTTTTATTTGAGAAGTTTTTGTCAGACTCAAATAGGACTAATTGTTAATGAAATCTCATCATGGATGATGTGAAGAAAGGCTCGTGTGTGTGATATATGTCAACTTGTGGTCATCTCTTCGGCGTAGATGTGATATCCACTTTATCTTTGACTATAGATGGTGTTTTTTTTTGTTTACTTTCCATCACTCTGCTGTCAAGTGGTATTTTTAATATTTAGGTTAGTTAAGGAGAGGAAGTGGATTCATGACGTTGTGAAGCTTTATCGGTTGTAACAAATGGCGAGCTATCGCTTCCACCACATCGTCGGGCAATGTAAGCTGACACATAGCATTACTTTGGAAAAAGGGTTAGAGAGGGGATGTCAGATCAAAACCTAGCTAGCATAAATCCATGAAATGCTGACTGTTCGCAGGTGTAACCTGCTCGTCTTGCTGACCTCAGTATGCTAAGAACCAATGACTGGAGCCATCTGTTGGTGATATGGCTTGAAATTGTTGTCAGCGGGGTGGATGATTTCACTTTTTGTAATCTCCCCGAGATCCATTAAGTCCTCATGTTTCATTCTCCTGAACATTTCCGTTCTCTAGAGTTCTTTTGATTTTTTCCCTTGCCGTTGTGTGTAGTACATGGGATGCGGCAACTTGAATAGTTATACTTTTGTGTAATGTTCTACGTTGTAAATTCAGTCAATCAGACTTTAGAGAGCGTTATGTTCCGCAGGCTAATTATATGTTGTGTTATTTGACTGACTGACTGACCGACAGGTTTTAAACGTAGAACTACTTTGAACAGATGTGCAGCAGTTTGAGTTGCCACACTTCATTTAGTACACTGATTTCCCCTCCTTACCTTAGCACTCGACTGTTACCTAACCTCAATATTGCTCACCTGGATATACCAGTTAACACAGGTGGTAGAAAGCAGACACCTATGATCAAAAACAGCTAGCTAGCCTTTTCATATATTCCACTTTCAATGTCCATGTCTCACTCACAGCTACAAATGAGGACAAAGCGAACTGGGGCTTGGAAGTACACACATCTTTTGGTCGACAGTCAGTCGGATATGACGTCTACTAAGCCAGAGATGGCGTAAGTTGTTCTATGCTAAACGAGCCTCCTATTTTTTACATGCTGGGATTTTGTCAGCGACTAACCAGCTGGCATTGGCGGATGCAACTTCTCAAATAAGTTAAGTGGTCAACACGCTCCATCAACCATTTCACTCCCTTCCTATTTTCAAGCTAGGAGTGAGTCGATTTAGTGCAGTCCAGTCTTGTAACATTATCTTATATTTGACAAAGGGAGCAAATCACATACCAGACATTCGAAGATTGCTACTCCTTAAGGTATTCAGAAGACTGCTGTATTCTGTCAGCGTCTTTACTTAGGAGCACTATATCATCTGCTTATTCTAAGTCAACGAGATTATTTGCTGATGGTAACAAGTCAATCTTTGAGTCACTGAAGTCAGCAGTTAGAGTTAAGTCCATTTGTACAATATCTATGCTGAAGTTAGGGAGAAATGGGGACATTGGGTTGGCATCATTGACGGACGTCACTGGTCGTCACCACAGTTGTCAGATGACTGACTGGCTGCATGAGTTCTAGCAGAGTGGGTATTTTCTCGACATTCTGTACACAGCCATGTTATTTAGGACAACGCTTTTATATCAATTAATGTATGAACAAACGTTATTTACCCTATTGCGATGCATTCACGTGCATGTAATCACACAGTCGGGTAGGATAGGGTATGCATATTAGAAAGTAATATACTTGGGTGGCCTAAGAGGCTGATCAATGAGTGTTTCTTCATTGAATCAGTGTCAATACATGCAAGAAAGTGAGGTTCTATAACGCAGATTATTATCAAAACACAAATGTGGTACATTATAGGCATCAAGAGATAAGTCACACGAAATTTCTCAGTTTGTTCGGGGGTTGAGATACTGCCCTTGTAACATCACAAGACAAGGGCCAGGCAACAGATCGTTTATTAAGGAAATCAACACGTATTTATATATATTTCATGTACATTATTATAGCTTATTCAAGCAGACAAACACAGTATTTTGATTGGTTGTTTCTTGCTCAAGGTTATTCTGTACTGCTCGTGGCTGGTTTCTCAGAAAGTTAAGTCATATATCTGCGAATCGTATTTGTCCACGTTAAGTCTGCTGTGAATCAGTCTTGCTCATATTTTCTCACGGTCAATATTAGCGACATAGACATTGACGTGAATTAATGTCTACCAATTGGCTAGCAACCTGCTCTCACCACACCCTGATGGCTTGATCGAAGCGGTTGTTTGCCTTAAGCGGCTACCCCTTCCCCGTCAAGTCTTTGGCTTGTAGTCTGTTCCAAAATTCAGTCTGGCCGTGTTGAGAGCTAAATCATCATGTTTGGCAGTGACCAAAACAGCTTCAGACGCCATTCAGTTATTTCGGATTCTAAAGCCCATATACAGTACAGGTATGGAATCAGGGTCTTTCAGCTCCTCCAAGTAGACTTGTATGCTCACCATGCCGGTTGTGCGGATAACACTCGTGGTGTGAACGCAGTGAATAGGACTCAGCATAACCACATGAGAGCATATGTACATAAGTCGAAATAAGTATTTGCGTATACTATTTCTGGGATCATTTTCAGCGTGGCTCATTGGCCTAAATACTGAAATTTTCAGCCAGTGCATCTTGGGTTCGAGTCCCACTACAAATACTTTTACGTGGGTTACTGAGTAACATTACAAGCTACCCTCCCTTACACATACAGTATAGTTTAGTGCAAACTGACTGCTAACTAGCTAACTGATCTAGTCCTCTCAGGTGAAGGCGTTAATAAAACACAGAGTCTTCTGAATACCTTCGAATGTTTGGCATGCTATTTGTTCTTGCCAAACGTAAGATAATGCAACAGGACGGCACTACATCGACTCTTAGCCTAAAGATAGGGAGTAAAGGGATACAGTGTGTTAACCAATTTACTTATTTAGGGGGGGGAGTTCGCATCAGCCCCAACTGATTGATTGTTGAAGAAATCTCAACATGAATATAGAAGGCTCGTGTGGGATTTGCCAACTTATTCCATCTCTGGCGTAGGCATAATGTCCGACTATCGGTCAGGGAATGTGTACTGTACAGTAGTAGTTCGCTGTGTCCTTCTTTATGACTGTTAGAGATAACTGTTGTGAGTGGAAGACTTGGAGAGGCTAGCTGTCTTTGAACACAGATGTCGGCGCTGCATCTCCCATGTTAAGTTGTATAGTATGGTAAGCAATCTTGAGGTTAGGCGTAAAAATGTTAGATAAGTAAGGGAGGTCAATCAATACCATCGTGAAGTTACATCGATTGCAGTGAGTAGGACGTATGTATGTGGCAAGCTGAGCCGTCATCTCTCTCAACGAGCAATTTTAGCCGACCGAGGAGTTATCAAATCGATATCCAGGTAAATCAGACCATAAAGTTTTTGTTGTTTGACAAGTAGTTTGAACCCTGTAGATAATTTTGGGCTGTCTGATTGAAGTTGTTGAACCGCTAAGAATCAATAGCTAAAAAGGCATTACTGTTATTTTTTTCACATTTGTTTGGAACGTATTTTCTCGTGTATTATTCTTAGGGTTAGATTGAAAAGAACAAGAAGTTCAGCAAAGATATCCACCTTTTCGGCGATTTCATTCTCAAAAGCAGCTGTACAATTGCATTCATATAGATTAGTTTACATGGATACAATTATTATTATTTGTTTAATTCCACATAGTAACGGTGATAATAATTTTCAACTTGATATGAATGTTTGAAGGTAGGAATATATAGATTACAAGGGGCTTAGAGACAAGATAGTATAGGATTAGAAAACAGTTACAACATGTGCAAAATTAATATTTGATAACTGGAGAAATAGTTTTAAAGGTGAATGAGAGGTGATAATTATTTCCAACTTGATATGAATTACACCAGGCTTAGGGACGAAAGTTACGCAGGGATAGAACGAAATACAGGCGTGCACAAAATGAGCATGGAAACAAATTGAAATCAAAAATTTTGAACTTGAAATGTAAGTTGGGAGGTGTGAATATAGACAGATTACAAGAGGCATAGAAACAAAATGGTTATTTTAAACGGATTACAAGTGTGATCAGGAGGAGCATGGAAACAAACTAATAAACAGCTGATTTTATAACTCAAAACGGAAATAGGATGAATTGAATGAAGGCAAAGAGAGAAAACTATACACACAGATAACAAAACAACAACAAAACTGAAGGATAAGAGAACATACCGAACTGGGTCTATGGTAGTTGTAAAGGCTGGACTAGTTTCTTTTGAACACATAGCTCCGGCTTTTCGATGCATATGGCGAGAGCTTCCGCATTACAAAGAAGTCGGAAACACACTGACTGCCTTTGGTAGAATTTTGTTTACTTTGTAAATGACTCTGAATGATGAGTCAGTTGAGATTCTGTGACAGGTATTGACGAGGTGTTCAGTTATTGCGCTTCTGATTGTGAACCAGTGCCTTCTTTTTGCAGCCATGCTGGATGATGTTCTCTAACATGTTTTGATAAGACCCGCAAAGAACAACCTATGTACCTAGCTGAGAAAGAGCAGGTGAACTGATATATGCAAATTGAAGTGGTCATATGCGGAAGTCTGTCCTTCCCGTTGCTCCGAAGCAGTAGGCGGCTAGAGAATATATCACTCTTAGAGTTGCTGCAAGAAAATTTTTCTTCAAGGAATTGGAGATACTCCTTTTAAGGATATCTACTGCCAGGTCTCCCCCATGAATTCCAGATTTAGAAAAAAGTGTTTTCTTTTGCACTGAAGTGTATTCTTCTCTTTTTCGCCTTGGTTTCATGTTCTTCTCCACGAAACGCTGTGGGTATCCATTTTGAACGAGGATGCTTTTTTAGAAATAGGAGCTCTTCTTCTAAACAGTCATCGCTATAAATCCTTCTGGTACGGTGGTGGGCTAGCGAGATGATGATGATGGTGATGGTGTTAGGCTTAAACACTCGGATTTCTTCGATTGGATGTTAGTCAGTGACTAGTGTGATGTGTGTAGTCCTTTCTTTGATGGAGACTGAATTCTATCAGTTAGGTCTGAGGCTTCCTGACGATTGTCTCCAACTAATCTAAAAACAACTCGAATTTCATCTAACACATTCTGTTTTCGAGTCGTGCACACCGCTTACTTCAGTCTAGGTGTAAGTGAGTAGTATTGTCAACTCCTCTGCCCTTAACACACATCATGTGTGTGTAACTCCATAGCACAGTAGGTAATCAGTCTGTCCCAGGCAAGTGAGTTTTATCTAACTATATGTCAGACTATGAGTTATACTCTTGCTGGAGTAGGTTGATAAAGCGCGCGGGGGGGGGGGGTTGATTCGAGCCCGTAGTTTCATTGACTGAAAGTTGAAGAGTTAATGTCAATTAACCGCCTTTCTATAGTATATAATTGTTCACATTAAGAATGTTTTGTTTTCAACCTTTTCTTTTTTTTGTTATTGATTTTTAGCTATTGGTGGTTTTCGTTTCTGTGAAAAGACTCATGCTCGTCGGCATAATAAAAAAGGTGTTGTAAATAAAAATGAAGAGGATGATGGTGGTGGTGGGGATGATAATAATGAAGAGGAGGACAATGACGGTGATGATGATGACGATACTGAATCACGTTCAATAGATCAGAATACAAATGATCCCCGTTCACCATCAGTTAGTCAATATGAATCAGATGAGAATGAAAGTATCAGTGGGAATTCCGTGCAAACGCGTAGAAGATCAACACGGCTAAGTAATGTGGCTAAACAGAATGGTCCTGTAGCCACTAATAGAACGCCGTCTACAAGATCTTCATCGGTAAGATGACTATCTGTTTGCTTTTTACTTTTTTATCGTCTTATAATTTTGGTTTTCTATAGTAGTCGTAGAGGTGATTTGGCAACTACGCTACTACCAACGGGGTGATGCCAACAATTATACATCTCAGACATCCAACAGTTGTACGACAATGCTGCATGCCAGGTAATCCACAACAGGAAACCTACGGAATCCTTCGAAGTGAGGACGGGAGTAGGACAAGGCTGGCTGCCTACTGTCGCCTATGATTTTCCTGATTGCAGTAGATTGGATAATGCGACAGACAGCTGGCCGGGCGATGAGGAAACAGGCATGAAATGGATTCACACAAAAAACTTGGAGGATCTGGACTTCGTCGATGATATATATGTGCGTCGGTGGCACAGTGGTTAGGACTCTCGCCGACCATGCCTGTCTGTCTGTTTTCGACATAGAACTATACACAAATGTGCGGAAGTTCAAGTCGCCACATCCCGTGTAGCACGCGAAGCAAGAGAAGAAAGTACAAGAAAAGCATAATAGAAACAGTGAGCAGAGGTGTGAGACAAAGGAGTAATAAAGAAATACAAAACAGTTTCATTGGAGATCATAAGTCACAGGGAGTGGATGCATCTGCGTTAGCCACTGAGAACTATTTTGAGCCATGTCACCAATTGTTTCCAACCATAGATTTTTACCGTCCCGAGGACCCCAGTCAGGAAGTCTACACCTTCCTACGTGTCTGGCTTAGACTAACAGTTGTAGATTTCATTGACTGGTGCCAAGTTTTTGTTTGGCCACCGCTAGCTCTTTTCCACCCTGGCCATATATCCGCTAACATTCCTCGTTGAGGGAGGCGATGACTAGGCATACGTAACACATTTCCTAACCATCTCAGTCTTTGTAGCTTCACGACTTCGTCGATTGATTTCCCCTGTTTACCTAGAACTCTACGCCTAACTTCAATGTTGCTCACCTTATTATGCCACTTTACACGGGAAATAGAACGCAGGCACCTATGATCAAAGACAGCTAGTCTTTTCATGTCTTCCACTCTCAGTGGCCAGGTCTCACAGCCTGCCATAAAGGAGGACGGAGCGGACTGATGAGCAGTACACACGCCCTTTGGTCGATAGTCGAACATCTCGTCTACGCCAGAGTCGGCGTAAACTAACAAATGCGAAACGCCGACCATACACATGGTCCGGGGTTCGAGCCCACGCCGGCGCACACCTGATGTCTATGGTCGGCCTGCAAAATTTGGGCTACCGATATCCATGCTGAAAATTCCATACTTGTACCAAAAATACAGCGTGGAATCAAATTGTAAATCAAAAAAAATAAAATAAAATATATATATATATATGTCTGATTTCCCACAAGGGGGGGGGGTCTTGCTTATTGCTTCCAACTGTCCTACATCATATCAGAGTGAACTGTGATGGCGAGTCGCTTAGCCTTGGTGTGACTGCATTGCATAGTTGGTTAACAGAATTTAGTCTTCACCAGCATCAAGGACTAGACGCATAATATTGATTACTGGTAACTAGTGAGAATCCATTACTTTGTTGAAAACTCAGTCGATCAGTCAGTTAGACTGGTAGCAGTTGGTTTCGTGGTTATTAGGACGAGACGTATCTGCAATATTGGCGGAGCTAATTGATGATCCCTTCTCTTGGAGATTCACTCCGATGTCTACATTAGTTAGATTAGTTGAAGTGAAGGTGTGTATTAGTTCCATCTGTGGGTGGAGAGAGCCGTCTTCCCGTTTTTCGCTGTCTGTTGCACGATCCAGTCCACTACAATCCGGAACATCCTTACTAAATCATAAAAAGTGTAGGGAGAAAGTGACAGTGAATTCCTATTGAGCTGGTTTATATGTGATTAAGGATCCTCAGGGGTTTGAAGTCATAGAATCGCTGACTGTCTGACTGACTGGTTTCAACGCATGACTACTTTGTACAGATGTGCACCAGTTCGAGTTGCCACACACCCTCCATGTAGCATAGGGAAGAGAGTAAACAGCGATTCCAAAGAGAAAGAATAAGTGTGACGATAAACCGAAATATGAAACAAAAAGAATAGTTTAATTGAATTTTAGATTTTCCCGTCGATTGATTGATTGATTGGACCGAAGTCCTCGGTCTCAGGTTGACATGTCAGCTTCTTGTACAGGTGTTTCAACGATGTCTGGACATGTAATTAGAATTTAATTGGCGGATGGTGACTAGCAGTGTTTCTTTGTATTCCACTGAGACTGAGTACATCGATCCAATCAATCAATGGACGGGAAAATCTAACATTCAATTAAATTAGCATGACCCGTTGCACGAGAGGGGTGGCCAGCTCTCGTGGCCCAAGTGATCTCAGTGGATAACGCTTTGGCGTTTGAAGTTATGGGCACCGGGTTCGAGCCTCGGTGAGAACATCATCACTCACTGAGAAATGCAGGTACATCCAGTAACTGACGACGAGTCCCAAATAGGACGAAATGCGCATTATCCTGGATTCCACTGCTATTCACCATCCACCAATTGTATACTAATTAAATACCCAGACATCGTCGAAGCATCTGCACAAGAAGCCGACATGTCAACCTGAGACCGAGCACTTCGGTCCAATCAATCGACGGGAAAATCAAAAATTCAATTCAATAATTAATATGACCCGTTGCACAAGAGGTGGCTCTCGTGGCCTAAGTGATCTAGTGGATAACGCTTTGGCGTTTGAAGTTATGCGTACTGGGTTCGAGCCTCGGTGAGAACATCATCACTCACTGAGAAATGCAGGTACATTCAGTAACTGACGAGTCCCAAATAGGACGAAATGCGCGTTATCCTGGATTCCACTGCTATTCACCATCCATCAATTTAAAAAGAATAGTATTATGGAAGAACAATAGAGTTTTTTGGATATGGTAAATCACAGAGAGTGAATTTACCTGCGCCAGTCATTGACAACGATGACTTTGAGCCATATCACCAATTGTCTCCAGTCTTCATTGGTTCTTACAATCCTGAGGTCCCCAACCAGTCAGTCAGGAGTCTACACCTCCCTACATGGCTGGCTTAAACTAACTGTTGAATCGTAGAATCGTACTTAGAATGTGTAGTTTATTTTATCAACACTACATTGGAATTTAGTGGTTTAATATTTTTCAGTTTATTGACATTCTTATCATGCAGCAATTATTTGGGGAACCATTGTACACCTCCATAACATGGCTGAGACCAATAATCAGTAACTTCATAAGTTGATGTGCATTTATTTATTCAGATCATCAATAAATAACTCTTTACCAATGTCATCTCATTGCATCGAGGAAGGTGATATTGTTATTTGTCTCTAGCTTTGCGTGTGGAAAATCTCCGTTCACCTTGGTTCTCTCTCTCTCTGTCGTCACTTTCAGCTGGCTAGACAACTGTCTGCAAACTTTTATTCCCTCTTTGCATGATCTTTACCATGTCACCGTTGAATCTACGCATAGTTCATCATTCCTCATTTTAGATAGGACATGAGGGTTTGGCGCATGTGGTGTATCACTCAACAGTCTCCTCAGAGTATGCCTGATCCATCTCTGTCTCCCTCAGTATATTTTTTGGGTGATATGTTCTTGGTGTTGGTTCGTTGCCCCCACCAAGGTGACTTGTTGCTCATCCTTTCCAGCCGGTCATCTGATCAACAGAATCGCTGACGAAATCTCAGTACGGGGATACAGAAGACTCGTTCACCATTTGCTAATTTACTCCATCTCTGGCATAGTAGACGTGCCATCCGTCTGGCTGTTGACCAAAGGACGTGTGTACTGCTCGGCTCCAGTTCGCTCTGTCGTCCTTTATGCCTGTGAGTGAGACATGGGCATTGAAAGTGCAAGATATGAAAAGGCCAGCTAGTTGTCTTTGATCATAGGTGGTATAATAGATTGAGCAATGTTGAGTTGAGGCATCAATCAAGTGCTAGTTAAGGTGAGAGGGGAAATCAATCGATGAGATTATGAAATTACACTGATTGAGTGAGATGGTTAGGACATATGTTATGCATGCATGCCTAGCAATCGATCGCCTTCGTCGACAATGGCCAATGTTAGCTGACATAGGATAGATCAGGTTGGGAAAGAGCTAGCTGGTGGTGGCGGTCAAACCAAAACGTAGCTTCATCAGTCAATGAAATCCATACCACCTAGTTAAAGACAGCCAGCCACGTAGGGAGGTGGCTGGTTGAGGTCCTCAGGATGGTGGGAACCAATGAAGGCTGGAGATATGGCTCAAATTCGTCGTTGTCAATGGCTGATGCAGATGTATTCACTCTTTGTGATTTATAATATCCAATAAGATTTTATTAGTCTTCCATATTCTTATTCTTTTTACCTCACTCACACCTATGTTTATTATCTCTGTTTTGAGAGCGTGTGGCGATTGGAACTGGTGCACATCTGTGAAAAGTTGGAATCAAGCGAAGGCGGCAACCGTACACGAAAGTCTACAGCCGTTTCTGTTAGAAATGCTTTTTTGTCATGCACCATATAGAAACACTGACTAACTTGATCAATAGTATTTAATTGGTGGATGGTGACTAGCAGTGGAGGCCAGGATAATGCGCATTTCGTCCTATTTGAGACTCGTCAGTTGCTGGATGTGCCTGGGTGATGATGTTCCCACTGAGGCTCGAACCCAGTGCCCATAGTTTCAAACGCCAAAACGTTATCCATTAGACCACTTGAGCTACGAGAGCTGGCCACCCCTCTTGTGCAACGGGTCATATTAACTATTTAGTGGAATCAAATGACAGAAAAATCTAAAATTCATATAAATTGATAGGTTGTATTGAGAAATCATATCCTATTTCTTCGGCTGACTACTATAAATCTCTACACTGGTTTTAGACTTATGTAGGTTTGGTTTGTTCTTTCTCAATCTAATCCTAGCTGACTTCGACATCCTCATCCCATCCACCATTCCGATTATTGCCATGTAATTGAAATAAAGCTATCTATGCTAGGTTAAGTGAAGGACGGGGGTGGGGTGGGGTGGGGCAATGACTTTCTTTAAGTTTCTCTTCTGTTCTTTCTATGTTCACTTGAATGAAGCCTTATCTTCTCTGCTTCTCTCAAATTCTATTACTGTCATTATAATGATTATTTTTTTTTGATTTACAGCTTGATTCCACACTGTATTTTTGGTACGAGTATGGAATTTTCAGCATGGATATCGGTAGCCCAAATTTCGCAGGCCGACCATAGATGTCAGGTGTGCGCCGGCGTGGGCTCGAACCCCGCACCATGTGCATGGTCAGCGAGAGTCCTAACCACTGGTGGTATTAGATGGTTGGAGGCAATCGGCCACATGAAGCCTTGCTTGACCCAGGTTTCGTGCTAGTTGGCACTCACCAGTCAGTCAGCAAGGCGTGTATCTGCAACCTTGAAGGAACAATTCATGTCCCTTCTGAGATTCGAACCCCCGTATCACCCAGTGCTGCATGCGCAGTCAGAGACGTGACTACCACTGAGCTATTCGGACTGGCTCGTGATTGACCTCCTGTAGGACTTACTGTAGTGGATATTTTGATTTCACACTAGTAACCACCTAGTGTGGTGGTGCGTCTAGTCCTCTGAGTGCCAACTAGCACGAAACCTAGGTTAAGCAAGGCTTCCTGTGGCCGCCGATTGCCTCCAACCATCTAATACCATCAAATCAATGTGTGCACCGTGATGGCGAGCTACCTAGTGACATGTGGTGGTCACATTACAACCTGACTGATAGAATTCAGTCTACACCAATCATAGGACTAAACGCATCACACTAGTTTACTGACTAGTGTAAAATCAAAATGATTATTATTATTATTACTAATAGTTTACTTAAGGATATAAAACTTTATTGGTACTTTTTAGCTGCTTGACAATAAAAAAGAAGGAGCGACCTGTAAAGGAAAGACTGAACAATCTACTACTGACAAACTGAATTCTACACCGTCGTCGTCATCATCATCATCATCATCATCAAATAAACAAAAAATTTCAGATGATAATAATAATAATAATAACAACAATAACAACGAAAATAATGAAGGAAAAGTGAAAAAAGAAAAAGAAGAAGAAGGGGACGAAGAAGAACACGAGGAAGAAGAGGAAGAGGAAATCCTTGTCACTGTAAGTCTTTCACTCCCCGTTTTTGTATTGAATGCCTTTAAACTTTCAGCTAGCTGGGGTGGGGGGTGGGGTGGGGGATCGCTAGCCTCATGATCAATGTGTACCTTCTTGTTCACTGGGGCTTACTGTCGGCTAAGTAGTGCCGGATCGGCCGTGACCCGGATTAACAACGACCGCGCTTCCTGCTGCCGTGTCACAGGGCAGGAGTGATAAGTATGCTACTGAGGCACACCAAACAAAAAAAGAGAACGAACAAAAACATGCCGCGTGTGACCGGCCTGGCTCAAGCAGTTGTCCCCTGGGCTCTGCGGTCACGCAACCAACTTCCACGGTGTGGGCAGCCGGGAAGTAACAAACGCCCTCACAATCCGAAATCGTGGCAACTCGTACTGCTGCACTTCGGTGCCAAGTTCTATGTTGAATCCAGACAGACAGACAGACAGACAGACAGAAGTAGTGTGTGTGGTTTACAGTTGCGTTGGTTGTCAGCATTCAAACCTGGATAATGTGGGGTGTGTGTGTGTGTGGTTGACGAGCAGTTTACCCCTGAACCATGGACTCGATTTACCTATTGGCTATACCATATTAGTTTGTTTATTAGATGTATCACACACAGAGTGTGAGACAACAGTATCACTGTTTACTGGATGACACAGTTTTGAACACAATTTTTTTTTCATTGTTCATAATCATGCCATCAGTTATAATGATCACACGACTTTGAAACTTGAATTTTATAGTTTTCTTTCTTTGTTCTCTCCTATTTGTCGTCATCATTGGAGTGGTAGTAGAATTTTCCAGATATCTGGTTGGACAGGTGATAAATCATTCCTATTGCATGTATTCCCTCTCAGTTGATTCAATAAACAAAGCTTCCGCTGTTATCAATCTCTCCCTCTACTCACCCTGTGACATTAGATTTTAAAATTGTTATCTTACCCCATCCATCCATCCTATTGTATGGCTGGTTGTGAGTAATTCCATGTAGTGAGTGCTGTAGCTGAACTTTACCCTAGATTTCTTATCTACATTGGTTGACCCGATTAAGATAAGAAATCTATACCACACATAGTACACACAACCAGTCATAAAATAGGATGGATGGGACAAGATAAAAGATTAAAAACCTAATGTTACAGGGTGACTGGAGGGAGAGATTGATAACAGCGGAAGCTTTGTTTATCGAATCAACTGTGCAAATCAACACGTGTAATAGGAATGATTCATCACCTGTCCACCCAGACATCTGTTAAATTCTACTACCCCAATGACGACAAATAGGAGAAGACAAAGAAAACTATAAAACTCAAGTTTTGAAGTCATATGTGAATATTAATTGATGCTATGATTATGAACAATAATAAATTGTGTTCGAAAGGCGTCGTCATCCAGTAAACAGTGATACTGTTGTTTCGCACTCTGTGTGTGATACATCTAATAAATAAACTAATATGGAATTCTCGAAAAATACCCATTTATTCATAAGTAAAAACACAGTTTTTGTTCAGCGAAAAAATTTCTCCATTCAACGACTTCATTTTCAAGCTGTACAGTCGTATTTATATTACAGAAAAAGGTTATTAAGTGGCACTAAATAATTGCTCAGGCAATGTACGTATATATGTGATAAAAGTTATAGTGGAGAGCTATCAACTCCACTATAAAATCCACAACAGTTGGTCTAAGCCACGTAGGAAGGTGTAGACTTCCAGGCTGGGGTCCTCGGGACGGTAAAAATCTATGGTTGGAAACAATTGGTGACATGGCTCAAAATCGTTCTCAGTGGCTAACGCAGATGCATCCACTCCTTGTGACTTATGATCTCCAATGAAACTGTTTTGTTCTTCGTTATTACTCCTCCTTTGTCTCACACCTCTGCTCACTGTTTCTATTATGCTCTTCTTGTACTTTCTTCTCTTGCTTCGTGTGCTACACGGAGTGTGGCGACTTGAACTGGCGCACATTTGTGCAAAGTTCTATTGTCGAAAATAGACAGACAGACAGATGAAAGTTATAAGGGGTAGAGTTGAAGTGTATAAAAAACAAAAATATTAAAGATTGTTTTATAACAAAAATCTCAAGTGTTGTCTAAAAATTTTTGAAAATTACGTACATTGACTGAGTAAAATGGAATTACTTACTACCATAGTGCCCAAGTTTTACACACATATATTACTATTGGCTATAGTTTGCTTAATTTTCACTTTTTTCATCTCTGCCAGACTCGAGTTCTGTTCGAGCTAATTCATTCTGCTATACAACAAGTTTGACTTACAGAAAATAATGCTTTAAAACACCTTATTTATAAAATGATTGAAGTTGAAGAAGCATCAAATGACTATTTTGTCCTGGCCTAGGACTCTTCTGCATTGTACTCATCCATAACCCATTCCACCAGAAATCAAATTGATGTGTATCCATATATATATATATATATATATATATATATATATATATATATATATGGTGGTCTCTCTTTCTGTTGCTCTCTTAGTCTGTGATTATTTCACTTTGGTGAACCTGTCTCCTTTAACAATGTATATTCCCTTTATATTACATATAATATGTGTTTGTTGACAGTCTGTCCTTGGTGATATATATCCATATAATATGTGTTTGTTGACATATCTGCTATATTTTGCTATGTATATATGGATCGATACTCCATTATAGTTAGCCAATCATGTTAAGACTGCCTATTGATTTGTTCACACACTTGTCTGGACATTCATATATATTTTGCTCTCACACTGTTGTGTGATATATTTGATTCTCCTGGTGTTGGAATATAGAAGTATCATCGCAAACCTAGTGGTCTTCTGATATCCGTCTTTCTTGAGTCAGGACTATTAAATTCTCGACCAGTACATAATAATAATTTGGCGACGAGAACATAACACAAATCTAGGTTTTTCAGGTTATATAAGAGCAACCCACTGACCATTCAGCCACCAGGTTTGTGTCAATTTGTGATATGTCTCTATCGCCAACAAATTCCATTGGATTCTGCCCCAGTAGCCTAAAGGTCTTTGTTTCGATCCCTGGTGAGTGGGGTCATGGGCGGTGTATACTGCTGCTGAAGGCAGAGTAATCCCAAATAAAAGGGGATACGGTTTGTCCTGTAGTGCTGCTCCTTTTTTTTCAGTGATCTTCCAACTAATGTGTCATTTTGTGATCAAACTTGAAGTCGATCAGATCCCTGTCATTCAGTCAACAGTAGAATTTATGTAGTATGGAAGGCATAGACGCCGTATCACAATGAATATACACATTGTGTACTTAATTAATCGCATTCTAAGTACAATTTAAACCATTAGTTCTGATTATTTCAGGATTTCATCATGAATTGTTATAGGTTGTTAGAAGACCGTTGAAAAACTAACAGGGAGTACTGAACAGCCAGCTGTTTTGTCCGCCTAGTTTGGGACTGTTCATTAGTACGCACTCACCGTCAGGATTCCAACCCAGAACCTTCTAGTTACAAGGCTAGCTCGTGAACCATTAAGCTATTGGGGGGGGGGAGCCTAATGGATGAAACCGCTGGCTGTGCAGTACTCCCCGTCCTCTACCCAATGTCAATTCATGATGAAATCCTGAAACCAATCAATCAAATCTGTGCAAACCATTACACTTAAATTCTTCTTCTCATTTATTTTTAGTATGCAATTTTTTTTTCTTTATTAAGGAACCTCCTCGAGAATCATTCACTTTGGTCGCGAAAGATACTCAAGAAGTGAATCAATTATTGCTGATTCTTCGACAATTATTAGCCAGTAATGAAGAGAAGTTAATGAAAAGTCAAATTGATTGTAATTTAGATTCAGATTGTGATGATCCCAGTGATGGTAATAATAATAATAATAATAATAACGTTGATGGTATTGGTGTCGATGTGAATGGTACAGGTGATGCAGACAAAAAAGGTGATGGCGATAACGATGATGATGATTCAATCAATGAACCAGCGGCAAAGAAGAAACGTTTATCTCCAGATTGTGATGATGATGGTGTTAATACTCAGGTATGTATTTTATGCATTTATGCGAGTTTGGTTATCTTTTTCTATTGAAGGTATTATTCATTGATCTAGGCGTTCGTCACAGGATTGGACCCCACCTACCGAGGCTCCGACAACAGCTGTTATTCCCTTCGGTTCGGATTGAAATATTGGCCGTCATCAACACCTCTTCACCTTGTTCTATTTGGTGCTGTCGTCTTCAGTTGGATCCATGATTGCTCATCATCTCTCATCTCCTGCAAAACTCGCACGGTCTCCTCCACGTCACCCTCGAACAACCGACTCATCGTTTTTCATTCGGCTCCCACTCGAGGTTATGCCTGACACACGATGTCATTCGACAGCCTCCTCAACGTGTATACACCCTATCCATCTTCTTTTTTTTGTCTACACATTTTGTTGAGTGATCTGCTCCTGTTGGAAGTGCTTTTGGTGACGCGTTTGCCAAATTTATGACTTGTATAAAGCAACTGACTGATTGACTTCACATTTGTATTGAAAATGCGAATCTTATTCTTTATGCTGGCTAAGTTAGTGCAGAAGATTTCCAATCTAGTTTCATGTTGATGAAGGTGTATCTTACCTTTCAGATTCTGACTGGCTGGCTGGCTTTGACATATTCATCCGTTCCACTGGCCTATAGTTGAAGTCGTACTTCCTAGATATCGGACAACAGCTAGGGAGTAAATATTATTAGCTTTAATATACACAAGGTCTTGCATATCATCATTGAACAAAGCTTGGAATGGCAGTCACCTCTCCACCTCAATCAACTTCATCGACTTTGAAAAGGCCTTCGACAGCGTCGATCGAGAGGTCATTTGGCAACTACTTCGCTACTACGGGGTCCCATCGATAATTATACATCTCAGCCAACAGCTACACGACAATCTGCATGCCAAGTAATCCACAACGGGAAACTTACGGAAGCCTTCGAAGTGAGGACGGGAGTGAGGCAAGGCTGTCTACTATCACCAATGATCTTCCTGATTGCAATTGATTGGATGATGCGACAGACAACGGCAACCAACGAGGGAACAGGCATAAAATGGACTGACACAAAAGACTTGGAGGATCTGGATTTCGCCGATGATATATGTCTGATTTCCCATAAACTGGAAGATATGCAAGTTTAAAGTAATAAGTTGGCAGAAGAAGCATCAAAGATAGGACTTCCTTCAGGTGAACATAGATAAAACAGAAGTAGGTGATGAAGATTCCTGGCCAACATCAACAGCTACAGCAACACCAACAGACAACAATCAGCATAAGTGGGAAGAACCTGAAAGAAACAACCTCCTTCACCTACCTGGGAAGCATCGTCTCAACTACAGGCCGATGGAACTGACGAGGATATCAAAGGAAGAATCGGAAAAGCAAGACAAGCTTTCATTACTATTGAGTCTGTGTGGAGGTCAACAGCGCTCAGCATCGAAAATAACATCCGGATTTTCAACTCCAATGTAAAGTCAGTGCTTCTATACGGATCAGAGACTTGGCGAGTCATAAAGAGCATCTCAAACAAACTCCAAACCTTCATTAACAGCTGTCTCCGCTCAATACTCAAGATCAGATGGCCAGAAAAGATCAGCAACAGGGATCTCTGGGAGCGAACCAATCAGGAACCGATTGTGAAACAAATAGGCAGAAAGAAATGGAGATGGATTGGCCATACGCTGAGGAAACCATCAAGTGACATCACTAGACAAGCCCTCGAATGGAACCCGAAAGGGAGGCGGCGAGTTGGTCGTCAGTGTGAGGGTGACTTGGAGGAGGTCATGCGAGGAGGAGATGAAAGCATGTGGACAGACCTGGAGCAGGGTGAAAAAGTTGTCAGAAAACCGAAGGCAATGGAGGTGCGCAGCTGAAGCCCTATGTTCCTCTAGGAACTAAAGGATACAATAATAATAATAAATAATATACACAAATGAGTTTGACTCATTTTCAACTACTTCATGGAGATGCAAATAGTTCTTGAATAACATTTTGTCAATCGGTCTAACTTCACAACCTCGTCATTTGATGAGGTTACGGGGGAAGGGAATCGTAACATGAAAAAAAAAACACGTCACGGTTTTGTGGAGGATATGAGAATTCATCTGCTCCATTGAGAAAGATTGTGAAACATATCATCAATACTCTCCAACTATAGGTTCTTAGTATCCTGACGATTCTAACCATGCAATTAAGACACACACACATACCCAATGTGGCTGGCGTACTGTCAAGAACTTCATGAACTGGTTTCAGGCTTTGGTTTGATCACCCTAACCTTTTTCCAACCTAATAATATTCATGCATAGATGTAAATCAAGGCGAGTTCCAGAGACTTGAACTCTATTCCGTGCTTACATCAATATATCTATAATAATATATAGTTGGCAGAGTCTCACATAGGGAGGTGTAGACTGCTTGGTGTTTCAATCTCACCCCAGGGGATGTGGGTGTATCCCCGAGTGTTTCGGTCCTTGAGACGCTAAAAATTATTGGCTTTGAGTGTCTGTTAATTATATTGATTGGAAATTATTGTCAGTGGTAAACAGAGTGATTGAATCCCCCACCTCGTGCACATGTGATTATTCTTTCTACTGAACATTTTTGATTATTGTAGTTTCACTGCGTTTTTCCTTCCTCTCAACCCTTTTAAATGTGATTTTAAGAAGTGTAGATACTTCAGTAGCCACTATGTTGTACAGATTTCCCTGTGAGTCAATCAGTCAGTCACTGTTTGGCTTGAATACTGTCATAATTTAAACATATCTTATCATATCATATAGTTATTTCCTTGGGTTTTGAGTAGAACATAGGGTTTCTGCAGGACTTTGCCATTATTTCTCACTGTTCTTTGACTCCACGATTCCTCATAGGCGCTTTCGTTACCTCCCCACTTCACACGATCTCCTTCATGTCACCCTCAGACCAGCACCGCCGAACTTGTCGTTTTTTCATTAGGACCCAATCAGAGGGCCTGGTTCATGGTTTCACCCAATGGTCTCCTCAGCATATGTCCAATCCATCTCCATTTTCTTCTGCACATTTTTTACCTGGCGATAAGTTGTTAGTTGGCTCCGTTCCCAGAGTTCCATTTTGCTTATTCTTTCCCCCGCGGGCTATCTAATCCTCCGTATGCAGCGAAGTAGAGTAGTTGTTGATAATATAGTCCCCAACGAGGTGTTGAAAGTGCTTTTAGTGACGCTTCAAATCTTTAAATTAGAAAGAAACACTGGCTGTGCTTAGACCCGAACCTTATATTATTATTATTATTATTAATTCCTAGAGGAACATAGGGCTTCAACCGCGCGTCTTCATTGCGTTCGGTTCTCTGCTAGAGTTCTCACCTGTCTCCAAGTCTGCCGCCCACATGTTTTCATCTCCTCTTCACATGACCTCCTCCAAGTCACCCTCACACTGATGGCCAGCTCGCCGCCTCCCTTTCAGGTTCCACTCAAGCGATGGCTTGTCTAGTGATATCACTTGATGATGGTTTGTTTTCTCAGAGTATGGCCAATCCACCTCTATTTCTTCCTGCTTATTTGTTGCACAATCGGTTCCTGTTGGGTCAGTTCGCTCCCAGAGATCCCTATTGCTGATCTTTCCTGATCGGCCATCTGATCTTGAGTATTAAGCGAAGACAACTGTTGATGAAGTTCTGTAGTTTGTTTGGGGTGGTCTTTATGACTCGCCAAGTCTCTGATCCGTATAGTAAGTAGCACTGGCTTCACATTGGAGTTGAAAATCCGGATGTTATTTTTGTTGTTGAGTGCTGTTGACCTCCACACAAACTCAAGAGTAATGAAAGCTTGTCTTGCTTTTCCGATTCTTCCTTTGATATCCTCGTCAGTTCCGCCTGTCGTTGAAATGATGCTTCCCAGGTAGATAAAGGAGGTTGTTTCTTTCAGGTTCTTCCCATTTATGTTGATTGTTGTTGGTGTTGCTGTAGCTGTTGGTGCTGGCCAGGAATCTTCATCAACTCTGTTTTATCTATGTTCACTTAAAGTCCTATCTTTGCTGCTTCTTCTATGGCCAACTTGTTGCTTTTCACTTGCATATCTTCCAGTTTGTGGGAAATCAGACACATATGTCATCGGCGAAGTCCAGATGCTCTAAGTTTATCTTTGTATGGGTCCATTTTGTGGTTGTCTCCTCGCTGCTCGCCGCTGTCTGTCTCATTATCCAATCTACTGCAATCAGGAAAATCATTGACGATTGTAGGCAGCCTTGTCTTACTCCCGTCTTCACTTTTTCGAAGGATTCCATAAGTTTCCCATTGTGGATTACTTGGCATGCAGCATTGTTGTACAACTGTTGGATGAAATGTACGACCCGAATCTTATTCCCTAAATGCTAACTAAGTACATCAGTTCTCAACAGTGATGGTAACCGTAGTTATCATGTAATATTATATATATATATATCGACGTTATTGATTTCTTCTTTATTCTTTCTATTGCTCTTCTCATCTCACACTAAAATGCCTATAGAGGCGAACTATGCGATTACGTAATGCAGTGGAATCGTTAAAACGTCTAATCAAAAATTTAGAAGATCTGTTTACATCATTAGTGGATAAGGAGAGTGAACGTGTTGATGCACAACGATTGGCTCGATTACGATTACGCAAAGATGTTGAACATTGGAAGGAGGTAGAAGTAAGCTATTAAGATTATATACATATATCTTTGATGTTTTTATTTTATTTATTGTTATCGCTATTATTCAGTATCTTTACATTGGAACATGGGGTTGCTAGCCTCGCAGACTTATCCTTCCCTTCCTTCTCCAGACTTATTATCGGCTGAGTAGCGAGGTTCAGGAGTGCGTCAGCTGCAGGAGGTGGAACCCCGGTTGCTTTTTTTAATTTCCACATTAACTTTGTTGATGTTGATATTGTCAAGGTAGGTGGTTTCGTCATCAATCGATATCATTAGTAAACAGCGTGATATCGCACACACACTCACACAATCCCTCGCAGTGCTGATGGAGGTCTACTTTTTAAAGGCAAGTAAATTTCGCAACAGAATATTCTTTTCAATAACTTCTTCAGAGACAAGTACGTTAGATTGATGCAAATCATTGATTATCGCTCCTTATAAGTTTGGAGATGGGTATCGGTGGCACAGCTGTAGAATGCTCACAACCAGTTACACCTCTTGCTGTCTGGGATTCGATCCTCAGCCACAGATGTACTTTTTTACCTCGCTAAGCCAGTAATAAGACTGGTAGAGAGAGAAGGTTGGGCATAAGACTAGCAACCTCATCCCGTAATAATTACTGACTGACTCACCGGTTTCAATGTAGAACTTTGCACAAGTGTGCAGCAGTTCGAATCTCCACACTTCACTTAGCACACAAATTAAAAGAAAAGAGTAGGGAGAGGTTCAAAACAGAGATAAGAAACAGAAGTGTGAGGGAAAAATCAGTAATATGGAGGAACATCATAGTTTTATTAGATATTATAAGTCATAAGGAGTCGATACATCTGCGCCACTGAGAACGATTCTGAACCGTATCACCGATTGTCTCCAGCCTTCATTGGTTTTTACCATCCCGAAGACCCCAAACAGTCAGGAAGTCTACACCTCCCTATGTGGCTGGTTTAAACTAACTGTTGTGGATTTCATTGACTGATGAAGCTGTGTTTTGGTTTGACCATCACCACCAGCCTAGCTCTTTCCCAACTTGATCCATTCTATGTCAGCTGACATTGTCCATCGTCAAGGAAGGTGATGGCTAGGCATGCGTGCATAACACATGTCCTAACCATCTTAATTGATGCAACTGTTTCACAACCTCATCTGTTGATTTCCCCCCACTCCTTATCTAGTACTCGACCGACGCCTAACCTTAATATTACCCACCTTGTTATACCACTTAACACGGGAGGCAGAACACAAACAACTAAGATGAAAGACAGCTTGCCAACCTTTTCATGTCCCCCTCTTTCGATGACCATGTCTCACAGCCAGCTATAAGGGAGGACAAAGCGAACTGGGGCTAAGCAGTACACACGACCTTTGATCGACAGTCAGACGGATATGACGTCTACTAAGCTAGAGGTGACGTAACATGGCTAATAAGAAAGTATATCGCACTAATCAAGGCACTCTATTCAAACTCACGTAGTCGTGTAAGGGCTTATGGGGAACTGTCATCTGAATTGATAACAACCAGTGGTGTCCGACGGAGATGTCCACTTTCCCCATTCCTGTTTAACTTCATCATAGATATGCTGATGGAAGTATCCTCAACTGAACGTAATGACTTAGGAATCGACTTGTTACCAGGGTATAGTCTTATAGACTTAGAATATGCAGATGACATAGTCCTGTTAGGGGAGGATTCTGACAAAATCCAGCAGAGTCTTCTGAACACCTTGAGCAGCAATCTTCGTATGTTTGGCATGCGATTCGCCCCTACAAAATGTAAGATGCTGCTACAGGACTGGACCACGTCAACTCCTAACTTAGTGATAGGGAGTGAAGAAGTGATAGAACATGTTGACCACTTCACCTATTTGGGAAGTTGTATTAGCACCAACGAACTGATTGGCGATGAAATCCCAGCACGGATCCGAAAAGCTCGAGCTGCTTTCGCTGACTTACACCATCTCTGGCGTAGGCGTGACATCCAGCTATCAACCAAGGGACGTGTGTACTGCTCATCAGTTCACTCCGTCCTTGTCTATGTGATATGTATACAAATATATATATTTACATGTGTGTGTGCATGTTGGTCTCTCTTTCTGTTTGTTCGGTTAGTCTGTGACCACTTCACTTGTATGGACTTGTCTCCTTTAATAATGTGTATTCTCCTTATATTATATTATATATAATATGAGTGTTTGTTGACAGTCCGTTGCTTGGTGACATATATCCATATATGTTTGTTGGCATGTCTGCTATATTCGCTATGTATAATTGGATCGACACTCCATTATAATTAGCCATTCATGTTAAGACTGTCTAATGATTTTTCCCACGCTTGTCTGAATTATTTATATATATTCGCATTCTCAATTTGTGTGAACTACTTTACAACTACGTTACTTACTTACCACTTTGGTGTGAGACCATTTATTTTCGTCTCCTTGTGTTTGGAAAATAGAAGTATCATCGCAAACCTAGTGGTCTTCTGATTTCCGCCTTCTCGCGTCAGGACTATTAATTTCTCGACCAGTCCATAACAATAATTCAGCGACGAGTCCATAACACTATGGCTCTGAAACATGGCCAATACGAGTTTAAGACATGAAAGGGTTGACTGTTTTCGATCATAGATGTCTGCGATCTCTGTCTCACGTTAGGTGGTATAATAAGGTAAGTAATGTTGACGTTAGGAGGCGTAGAGTGTTGGGCAAACAGGGAAAATCAATCGACGAGGCTATAAAGTTAAATAGACTGAGATGGCTAGGTCACGTGGTGCGCAAGCCTCCCCCGACGGGCATCGCTAGCTGATATAGGTGCAGGTTGGAAAAGAGCCAGTGGTGGCCAAACAAAAACATGGCCTCATCAATCCATGAAATCCTTGACAGTTAAACTGAGTCGGTCAGGTAGGGAGATGCAGACTCCCGGGTTGGGGCCCTCGGGACTGACTCTAGGAATCAATGACTGGAGACAATAGGTGACATGGTTCAAAATCGTTGTCAATGGCCAGCGAAGATGTATTCAGTCTCTGTAATCTTTCATTTTCCTTTCTACCATTACCCATTCTGTTTCACTCTTATACTTGTCAGACTCTATTGCTTCTCTTCGCTCATCTTCTTGTCTACCTTTGTGTGGTATATGGAACGTGGCAACTCGAACTGGTGCACTTCGGTGGCAAGTTCTATGTTGAATCCAGACAGACAGAGAAAGTATGTGACATAGCCTTTTTTAAGCAATCCAGGAAACAATGTACCACTGTGTTGCATTGTGTTGTAGGTCCCGGTCGTATTCAAGATTAATCTTTATTCATAATTTTGATTGAAATTATTACTATTATTATTATTTTAATATTATTTTCAATAGGCTAGAAAGAGCAAGAAGTCGTCAGCACACAATTATAATCAAGACAGCAGTTATACACCTGTACAAGAGTCTCGTTCTAGCCTCCTGGCGTCTCTTCATCAAATAGATACATCAAAAGATCGAGCTGAACGACATCTACGTCGAGAACGAAGACGTCAAGCTCAAGATTCATCTGACAATGATAATGATGATAGTGATGGTGATGACGATAATAATAATAACGAAATTGGTAGTGATGAAGACAGAAAGAGGAAAGAATCGGTGAATAATGTTGCTGTCGTCAAACAATCCAATAGTAATAATCATTCACCATTCTCATCTAAGAGTACTCATCTTACTCCTCATAACACGTCAATATCTCCTGAGAATAATTCAACTAGAAGCAGCATTAGTCGAAGAAGTATAAACAATAATAATAATAATAGTAATAATACTAGTTATCAAGCATTTGCTAATCGTATCAGTGCAAGTGGTACACCAAAAATACCAATTTCACGCTTTTCACCTGAAGATACTTCATCCACAGTAGTTGTACGTCGATCCGCCTTACTAGAACCGCGTAAAGCTGCTTCTATCCTACCGAAATCACCAATATCCTATTCATCCGCGTCATCCTCATCATCATCAAAATTGAATAGTTCTACAACAACACCACCTAGTTATTATAATGGTAATAGTAGTTATAGTAGTAGTAGCGGGGTGTTGGGGCGTCGTCCAACTGACTCATCCAATTCACCATATCGAACAAATACAATATCACGTAATCATCCATCGATTCTACGTCCTTGTCTAACGAAATCCCCACCGTTTAATCAGAATTATCATCGTCATCATCATCATCAAGTCAATGGTTTGTCTACTACACTGACGCATTCACCACTTTCAATGACTTCATTGAAGAAGCCAACATCTCCTTCTCCCTTGTCCTCGTCGTCATCAGCATCACCATCATCAAGTATTCCCAGGAGTAATAATAATAATAGTAATACGCCGGGGGATAAACCACCAGTTCGTAAAATTTATCGTGTTTGTAACACTTTGTTTACAGAAGATGCAAAACCTGTAAAAATTGGTCCAAATGGTTGTTTAATTCCAATCCCTTTGGAAAGTATACCAATGAGTCAAAGGCAATTAGCTCGTCAAATGATATCAAGATATCATCAACATGTGAATTCCACACCATCTGCAATGTCTTCTTCTTCTTCTTCTATTGCGTCTACAATAACAACAACAACAACAGCTGCTACTCCAGGAGTCTCTAAAACGCCAACATTGTCAACCACACCATCGTCAGTTGAGGCTGCCGCCGCTGCTGGCAACACCACAACGGCGCCGACAGCGAAAACGCCAGTAGCTGGTCCTGTTAAGTCATAAATAGTTGTGTGTCTATCAGTGTGATACTCTACAAAGCTGTGGATAAAAAAAAACACAACAAAACAAAAATGTGTATACTAATCAGTTTCTATTCCACTCTTCACATTTGTATCGATCTCTCGTTTTTGTCAATAAAAACAAACAAACAAACGAAAGCAAAAGCCAAGATGTGTACGGTTGATTTGGTGTAGTGTATTTATGTGTGTATTGGGTTAATCTTACTCTTTCTTATTCTCATTGTTTGTATTTTGTGAGGGTGTTTGTTTTGATGTTACTTCTCGTTCCGACCCGACGCTACTCACCCCGCCCTGCCCTCCCCCACCCTAAGTATGTATGTATGTATGTGTGCGTGCATGTAATGTTGATTTTCAAGTGAAAATGTCATTTGTATGTGTGTGTGTTATTTCCTCCCAACTCCCCCACCCTACACCTACTAAAGCTCTCTCCTAAAAAGTTTTCCGCACCCCCCCACCTTCCTTAGAAGGAAGACGTTGGGGGGGGGAGGCAATCGGATTTTTCGATTGGTTAACTTATTTATATTTATTGATTTGTTCGTTTGTTTGTTTTATTTTGTTTCAATGTATTTTCCATTGGGTTCGTTGTGTACCTTGATTGTACGCCGGGACACACGCCCACGCGCGCACACACGTTTGACGCCACCAGTGTTTGCTCTTTGGGTGGCCATTTTTTGTTTGTGCGTTTGTGTGTGTATGTGTTTTTTATCAAGAAACGTAATGACGTATATGATTCACATTCGGATCAATTGATCCATTGAGTTCATCGATTTGTCATATATCAGTGAATGAATTTCATCGTCGATAAAAGGTGGTAAATCGATGAAGTTACTAGTGTTCCTACTGCTATTAGTACTGGTTAATGGTGAACCATCAGTCAGCAAGAGAAAGAAAGACATTAAGGTCTTTGAGCATTTATTCTCCAGAATTTTGCATCTTGTTGTAATTTTCTTTTATCTGTTTCTTTTCTCCTTTTGTTTCTCTATCCCTCCACCCCCCCATAACCCTCGTACTCGCCCCAGATCCTCCTCCACAGTTTGTTGTACATATATCTTAAAATGAAATGAACATATGAGGCTTCTCATTCATTTTGTTATTATTATTATGATTATTATGTTGTTCTGTATACAATTTTGTGTATATTTTGACGAATAAGTCCTCTTTCTTTCTTTTTATCTTTCTTTATTCTTGTGTAATGTTATATAATTTGTATTATTATTATTATTACTATTAGTATGATTATTACTATTATAGTTTTGAAGTTAATGGAAATCATGAGTTCATGAGCATGTGTGTGTATATGTGTGTTTGTGAGTAGTGGATAGTCGGTTATTTCGTCCGCCTAGTTTGGGGCACTTCATCAGTACTCACCCAATGCTAAAGGTCGAACCTAGGATCTTCCGGTTACAACCTGAGCTATCTGGTAGATCATTAAGCTACTGGGGCTCGATCCAGCCACTGGCCAGCCCATAAATTCCTACTTTTGCCAATGTCACTTGTGGCGCGAGTATTTCTCACTTCTAACCTGCGGTATCTCACTGATTGGTCACGACTGCTTCCTAGAAACCAAGCAACTACCTACGTACCTACCTGAATAGGGACAGTCATCACTAGTGAGCATTCGAGTGATATTCAAGTGTTGGTCTGCAGGGATTTGATTGGTTACATAATCTCATGATGAGCAGACATCGGTTAGAAGACTGTTGGACAATGAACATGGAGTACTGGGCAGCCGACTGTTTCGTCTACCTAATTTGGGACTCTTCATCAGTACGCACCTACTTTCAGGTTTCGAACGCAATGTCTAACCTGTGGTTAGCTCATGATGAAGTTCAGAAATCAATGAAATCCCTTCAATACAACAACTGAGTAGTGTAGTGGTAGGTATGACATTAAGTGGTATTAGTTTTCAAGCAAAACTTTGTCATAAGTCAAGATAGAATCCTCGTAAACCAACTGTCCCATCCTGGCTTGGCACTATTTACAAGGGGCGTAGTACACCTTTCCCCATCACTGATTGAACCAAGGACCTTCAGATAACAAGGTAACATTGTTGCCAGTTCACCTATCATCAAGTTGAAATTCAGTGATCTGTGAAATTTTTTTCAAATGATTTGTCAAGTTATTATGTAATGCAAACATCAATCAATTAGTCGTTCACCGCATTCGATATGGTAGGCTGCATTGGTCATGAATTCGTATCAAGAACTTCAGGAAATTCATTTCTCGTAGGTAGTCAGTAATGCAAAGGGGGTTGGCTAGTTAGTCAATAAAATTAGGATAACAAATAAAATGTAGAATCATGAAAGCTGTGTACTGGTAGTTATGTAATATGTAGTGAAATAAAATAAATTACAAACAAGAAGTAACCGTTATGGGGGGGGGGAAGTTGTCAGATCAATAAAGTAGTTAGACGGTGGTAGGAGATAGTCGACAGGAAGGTTTGGACCTAGATTTCGCGCTGATTGGCACTCGTTAGCGAGGTGTATTTATAGTCTTGAAATAACTTAAGTTCCCTCTGAGATTTGTTAGCCTGAGTAGCTGCTCTGTGGTCGTGTCTTTAACTACAGCACTGGGTGAATTGAATTTGAATCTCATAAGAGACATAGTTACTTCCTTCAATATATATATATATATATATATATATATATAGTTACCTTTCTGTTATGTACTCGTCGCTAAATTATTATGGACTGGTCGAGAATTTAATAGTCCTGACGCAAGAAGGCGGAAATCAGAAGACCACTAGGTTTGCGATGATACTTCTATTTTCCAAACACAAGGAGGATGCAAAAGTGGTATCACACCGAAGTGGTAAGTAAGTGTAAGTCACACAATTTGTGAATGTGAAATATATATGAATGTCCAGACAAAGGGTGTGAACAAATCACTAGACAGTCTTAACATGAATGGCTAATTATAATGGAGTATCGATCCATATATACATAGCAAAATATAGCAGACATGTCAACAACCACCATATATGGATATATGTCACCAAGCAACGGACTGTCAACAAACACTCATATTATATATAATATAATATAAGGAGAATATACATTGTTAAAGGAGACAAGTTCATACAAGTGAAATGGTCACAGACTAAGAGAGCGAACAGAAAGAGAGACCAACATACACACACACATAAATATATATATGTGGATACATATCACCTCCCCTTTTGAGAAGATTGATGATTAGTAGGATGTTTACCTGGGGGTTTATCTGGGACCTTTGAGCTTGTTGTTGACGTCTGCGTGTTGGGTTTGCGGCTTCGTTCGGAATTATCTGACATTTTAAGCTTCTTGACTGCATTGCATAGCGAATTTAGTGGGACATCAGCCAGATGCAAACGATCGAACCAATCAAGTCCCAAAAGATTTAAATCACTCTTGGTGACGTAGCAAATTCCTGTGAATTTGGTATTGCGGAAGGAAACGGAACATTTGAGTTCACCAATTAGTTTGAGCCGCCCACCACAGGCGCTGAGAAGAGTCTGGGAAGTATTTCCGATTCGTGGTCTGCCAATATTATTCCAAATTTTCTCTGATATAACAGTAATATCAGAGGCGGTATCTAGCTGCAGACGTGCATCATGACCATTCATCTGAAGGTCAATATATTTCCGCATAGTTGGTGTTGTGACTTGACAGGTTGCGCGTAGACTCAATGATCTTTTTGGAGATTTAGGACCAACTGTTTGTCGAGCTTTTGCTGGATTTTGACATCTGGGTTTGTGTGGCTGACAAAAACCATTTTTATGACCGATGATTTTGCACTTGCTGCAACGATGATTTTTGTACGGACAAGACTTTACAAAGTGCCACGCGCCACAATACCAGCATGGTGATGGAGGGGTCTTCTTTGCAGTATTTTGAGAAGTTGGACGAGTATGTATAGATTTCCGCGGAACATTAGAAGAAGTAGGTGGGTCAGGAGTAGATGATGAGAGATTTTTGCTCTTTCGTAATGCATGAATATCAGAGCTTCTCGAAGGTGTTGATTCGACCAGGTGTGTGTCTTTTTGCAAATTAATCAGCCGTTGATATTCATCAGCTATGTCATGTAATGTTAACTTGGGATTTTGTTCTAGCTGATTGAGCAGTCGAGTTCGGATATCTGTGAAACGAGGAGATCGAAGACTGCATATGAGAATCAAGGCTTTGAATTGATCATCTGTTAAGGACCTGAGTCGAAATCTCTCACATTCTCGGTTGACTGTGCCAACGTGAGTAAGAAAATCATCATTTTCATTCATTGTCAGCTTGAGGAAACGATAACGTATGCTGAATAATGAGGAGTGGTCTCCAAAATGTTCACGCAGCAGCTTTATTGTATCATCGAAACACTTGTCACGTGGTTTCTGCAGTAAAATTAGGTTGCAGTACCTTTCATATTCTGCCGGACCCAATTTACGTAACAAGACTCGCACCTTCCAAGCATCGTCTTGTGAGGCGAGATCAACAGTGAATAAATCCTCATAACGTTGATACCATGTGTCAAAAGTGACATTAGCATCTGGATTATAATTGAACTGTAAAATACTGTTCACAATGCCGTCGACAGATGGTAGCATGGTATGATTGGGATTGCTTGAAGGTGAAGCTGGACCAGTCTGTTGGTTGACAAACATTTCCATTAATTTCATTTGTCGTCCAAACAATAATTCCAATTTAGAAGGATCCATAATTTTCCCCGTCGCCAAATTGTTATGTACTCGTCGCTAAATTATTGTTATGGACTGGTCGAGAAACTAATAGTCCTGACGCAAGAAGACGGAAATCAGAAGACCACTAGGTTTGCGATGATACTTCTATTTTCCACACACAAGGAGAAGCAATAAGTGGTATCACACCATAGTAAGTAAGTCACAAGATTGTGAGAACGAAATATATATATGAATGTCCAAACAAGTGTGTGAACAAATCATTAGACAGTCTCAACATGAATGGCTAATTATAATGGAGTATCGATCCATATATACATAGCAAAATATAGCAGACATGTCAACAAACACACGTATTATATGGATATATATCACCAAGGTCAGACTGTCAACAAACACACATATTATATATAATATAAGGGGAATATACATTGTTAAAGGAGACAGGTTCATCAAGTGAAATGGTCACAGACTAAGCGAGCAAACAGAAAGACCAACATACACACACACACATAAATATATATATGTGGATACATATCACTCTCTTAGCAACAAAATGAATATTTCCGAGATTTGTTATTAGAATTGTAAATTTTATTTAATAAATTTCTATAGTTTGGTTTGTAAGGGTTAGTTATGCTTTTACGAGTTGATTACGGATTGATATTATCTAGAGAACCATTGGGGTCGCGCTAAATCACGAATTGGTAGAATTTAGAATTCATGAGCCATAGAATCAGTTCCCAGTGGCTGAATGGTGTATGAGCCAGCTTGCGCTGTAACCGGAAGGTCCTGGGTTCTAACCCTGGCAGTGGGTGCGTACTACCGATGATTCCCAAACTAGGATGAAACAGCAGCTGTCCAGTACTCCCTAGTTTTCAATGATTCTCTAGCTGATATCAATTCATGATCAACTCGTAAAAACAAATTTCTTTAATTGGTTAGAAATTAAAGTGCTATTAAATAAGCAGGTTGAGTGACATAATCTAATTGACGGGGTTATATAGAGCTTAGCTAAAATTAAAATTGAACTACAGTCAAGTTAACAACAGTGGTAATCAGGGGGTATGGGAAGAAACTACGATACAATTTAGGAAGAAAAATTACATAATTTCTGTTAAGATAGATCAGGTTCATTGGAGATTTAATAAGTGAACAAACTTCCTTTTGTATGCAGAGTTTAGGATTTAACGTGTGAATCACCATTCTTCCTACGGTTCACTCTCATGCAAATCATTATTCTTGTAAGGAAAGTTAGTCGAAGTCAAACCTGGTAGAAAGTTTTCTTCAGTGGTCGGTAGAGGCGGTTTCGGAGTATTTCTGCTAGTGAATCTCCATAGAATTATCGATTCCAGCAGAGAAGTCTTTGGAGAGCAGAGGCTGTTAAGCTGATCTTAGTGGTTTAGGTTTCGTAGATTTCACGACGAAACGTTCTGTGTAGCCATTTTTGAGGAGGAGGAGGAGGATTGTTTTCAGAGTGTTGAGCTCGACAGTGTCTAGTCTGCAAATTCTATAGCTCTATGGACGCATCTGGTTGCGTTTCGTATGTTAGAGGCATCCAGCTACGAAAGTTAGTCACTTGTCCGTTCCATATCGGCTTC